TTTTTCCTTTGTTTGAATCAAATACTATACTGCTCCCATGTAGAGATTAAAGATATGTTATTGGTCTCTTTTTACTCTCATCTCTCCCCATGTTTTTGTATCTTGTTTTCTAGAGACAGGCTCAAAGTATTCAGTGGGAGAGCCAGGTGTTACATCAGAAATTGTTATATGAAAGCAGCAACCAGTGTAAAAGTGCTTTGGACTTCCCCTTGTGGCCCACTGTTTTGGATGGCAATCGAATGTTGGTCAGTCGGTCCACCACTTTAGTCCAGACTGAAATATCTCAACAGATATTTGATGAAAGCCTGAAAAAAATTGTACAGACATTCGTGGTCTACAAAAGAAGAAGCGTACTGACTTTGGTGATCATCTGACTTCTGCAAAAGTACCACCATGAGTTTTACATTCTTAGTTTTTGGGAACACATAGTGACAGTTATTGGAGGTATTGCCATGAAATTTATCCATGTTGCCCTCAGGAGGAATTGTAATAACTTTGGTGATCCCTTAACTTTTTCTAGCTCCATCATTAAATCACTATTTCTATTTGTCCAATACTTTGGTTTGTGACCAAATGCCCACAAAACTATTGACATACACGTTAAACTAGTTAAATATTAGTTAAACAGTAGAGTCTTTCCACAATATGTTTGGTTCTCAATAACTAAATTCACTGTAAAAAATATGTTTTAGTGGTGATTTTATGGATGATTATTGTTCCATTTAAAGCTTGTTAAGGCTTAAGGAGTTGTTATGTTTGGGGGATGTGTGTATTAGTCTCAGACTTGGGGTCCCACTTCTTTCCCACCCTTTAGTTGGATTTTCTGCCTCCAATAACTAAAAAAATTACAACAAGCCTACACTCAAAATCCCTGCCTCAGAGAGTCATTTTAGCAACTTATTGGTGAAATCACAGTTACAACCTCCACATTTTTCTACAGGTAATAATATGATGGATTAAAAAAAGGTTCATTCAGAAAATGGAGAGGTGGTGGGATGAAGAACAGAAGATGAACACAATACACAGGACACTTGAGATGTAGGAAATGTTAGCTTAAAAGCTTGAAATGTCCTGTTAGCTTGAAAGGTTTCTTGTACCTTCTCCATGCCCATCTGATCCATGTAAAGCCTCTTCAAACTTTGGGATATGGGCTGGAATGCATTTGCTCCCACCCAGCGAATTGAATTTCGAGACAGGCTGAGCTCCTCCAGGTTGGGGGCCTCAGACAGAGCGTGAGTAGGCATCTCCGTCAGCTGATTTGAATCCAGGTGAAGTGTACCCAGAAAAGCAGAGTCTAGGGCACCCTTGGCAATAGAAGTTATGGTGTTATTTGTCAAGTAAAGTTCCCTAAGTTTAGGGGTTACTGAGGACAGCAAACCAGTGGGCTCTAGTTTAGAGATGGCGTTTCGCTCCAGGTGTAACACAAACAGATTTGGTAAGAGTGCCACAGCTACAGGAGAGACACAAAGAGACATAAAATATGTTTTAGTTTCCTGTTTTACACAAATAACTACCTTATAAAGTCATAAATCTTTACATACAGCCAGATTTGATGGGACCAACCACTGACCTGATCCAGGGAACTGTGCCAGCCGGTTCCCCTCAAGGTGAAGGTACGTGAGCTCGGGGGCTCCAGCAAATGCTCCAGGGTCCAAGGATGTGAGGTCATTGTCAGAAAGATACAAATAAAACAGGTTTCTCATTCCCCGAAAGGCCCCGCTTTCAATTTCGTGCATTTTACAGAACTCCAGGTGAAGAGAAACAACTTGGTTGGTGCCTGGGAAGCTGTTGGCAGGAAGGTAGTGGAAGTGGTTGCTGCGGAGGTCAAGCAGCTGCGTCTTGGTGGGGAAGCCTCGCGGGACTTTACTGTGACCCCGACCCTCACATGTAGCATGCTGGGCTTCAATCTGTGGAGGGTCAAATCAGGATGGAATATTATAAACAATACACCTTATTTGGATTCATAAACAAATAGACAAAATACTCAGATACTCTTTGGCATCCATCATAATGTTGACAGTCCTTAATCTAAAAATCAGTCAGTTCATTATTGCTGCCATTCTCTAGAAAGCAACTAATGTTTGAAGTGGACTGCTACTTAACACTTATGGAAGTGGACCAAATCTGTCCCACAAAAGAGAAATGCTGTTTCTGTCACCAGTTTGTCTCCACAGAAAACACTCACATCACAGTCACAGTTAACTGGACACTTGACTTTCAGCTTGGGCTTGGTAGTGGGTGGAGTGCTTCCTGTGCTCTCGTCATCCTTCTCAAACTCGTCCTTCAGTGACTCCCCCCGGCTGCGGCAGCGCATATCCAGAGGAGCGACTGCCTGCAGCGGCTCGTCTGAGAGGTGAGGAGGTCCAACACAGGCTCCCAGCAGCTTCACACCACGGACACTGGCCCACTCCCTCAAAGGCCGCATGTAGCAGTTACAGTAGACTGGGTTGCCTTTAAGAAGAATGAATGAATGATGATCAGGATGTACTGAATATGACAGATGGTATATTATTAACCTCCATGTATAAATTTGTGTCACTGAAGAATGTCACAATTGTACCAGTCAGGTTGAGGCTGGCCAGCTCCTTGGGGCCTGAGAGGGGCTCCAGGTTACGAAGCTGATTGTGGCTGAGGTCCAAGTGGGAGAGACGGGGGGCCTGGGACAAAGCCTGATCTGACAGGTCCTGAAGCGACATGTGGTTGAGATAGAGGTGTGTAAGCTTAGCCATGGAGACAGACTCTTCCCCGAGGTAGGTCATGGGGTTGTGGCTCATGTCCAGTCGAGTGACATCACGAAGTCTTTACAGGGACAAGAGAATAAAGTAAAAAATTAAACAACACGTATGACAATTCAGCATTCGACCAATTTTGGGGCTTCACTTAGCACAATGGCACTTTGAGCTAAATGCTAACATATTACTTTAATACTTTGCTCCTAGTTATGCTTTTTTTTTTTGGGCCAATAGTAAAAACCTGTGACATTTTTAGTGACTCTGCTGAGAACATATAAGCACAGTTTTCCGTCACACTGTCCCACCTGTTCATGGTCTGAGTGGGGAAGAACTGGAGCTCATTGTGGTCCACGCTGAGACGGCTGAGGGTGAACAATCCAGCGAATGCCTCAGTGGCCAAGTTGTTCAGGGAATTATGACTAAGACGAAGCCACTTGATGTTGTTCAGACCCTGAAAGAGGAGTCAGACTGTTGTGGGATCATATTATTCACTGCAGAGCGTGTGTACAGTATGCATGAGCAGTAGCTGCTTGCATTTCTATTAGTTTATGATGATGATGATTAAATGCCTATGCCCATAAGTCTGAGGACCTGGAAGGCCATGTTGGGGATATAAACCAGCTGGTTGTGGGTGAGGGCCAGCATGTTGAGGAAACCGAGCTGTGTGAAGGCTCCAGGCTGGATCTCCTCCACACGGTTATGGTCCAGATACAGCTCCTTCAAGGAGGAGAGGCCATCAAATGATTCCTGCAAAGGAAATGAGACCCAAACCCAGAGAAGATGAAGGAGAGAGGAAAAAAACCTGTGAAGCTTTTTTGACCAAGTGAAAAACATCCACTCAATCTCTTTAGTTCTGCCCTCTCCTCTTACCTGGTAAAGGATGTCAATTTTGTTGTAGGCAAGGTTTAATGAGACCACACGGCCCAGGGTCCGGAAAGCGCCCTCCTTCACTGTGATAATGTTGCAGCGCTGCAGGTTGAGGTGGGTGAGGTAGGGCGTAGGCATAAATGCCCCCCTGGACAGCACCTGCAGGTTGTTACCCCTCAGATCGAGTTTTACTGTAATCTGTGAGAGAGATAAAATAATAATAGAGGATGTACCCGAGGCAGAGGTAATCAGGAAGAAGGCCCTTGATAAGAGCAATATATTAATTATTACTGTAGAGCACTACTTGCTGCTATAGCTATACAAAAGTATGAATGGCATGCTAAACAGTGAGTGTTAATGTACCTAATTAATTTTGTATGGATAAAGATTAAAATTTAAGAAACATCTGAAATGCACCAAATATTCCACAGTTGCCATTAAATGTTCTCAAACAGTTGTATGAAGTGAAAGGGAAGCACTACACTCTACATTTGAGTTCCTCACCTCATCTATAGTCGGGGGAACGTTGGTTAAGTTCTTGCCAACGCAGGCAACCGTGAGTTTGGTGCTGTCACAGCTGCACACTCTGGGACATTTGCCTGCTTCAGTGGGTAAACTTGGCACAAATACCAGCAGGAAGGCAGCAGCAGAGAAGAAATGCATCTGTACCAGTAAAATATGTTGAAAAATGTCAAAACTGCTGTTTAAACTTCCATTCACTGTATGTGTAAGCAGACACACAGAGAAGCTTTACCAAAGTTGGATGCTTAAACAAAATATATAATGAATGCTAAACAGTTCAAACTACTTGTGATTCTTTACAACTTGTACTTAATCTTTTAAATATGGAACATTATTTCTGAACATTGCTCATGAGTTTAAAAACACTAGAAACACAAAGTGGCAGCTCATCAGGTGATAAATCCGTCCAAGAAAGATCTGGTCTAACCTCAAAAACAAACTAGAGAAAGAAAAAAAAAACTGGCTTACCTTCAAGCAGAATGTTTCACTGTCACAACTTGCTTGGTAACATGAATTAAAGGTGGATTATATGTGAATTTAAGCTTCAGTTAACTGCCGGTGACTTATTCCACTCTGAGTGTGTCCTGCACTTACAGTCTGTGGTCCAGCTGGCTAACAAACAAGGCTTTGGTAAATTCTTTTGGGATGACCCCTGATCCCTGCACCCCCTCACTGCAAATTAACACCTTGGCTTTACATTTTCTGTCAGGTTAAAGGCCAAAACACAGGGAGAAAGCAACTGTATTTATTGATATATGTAAGAGATAAACTGAGTATTCTTGGCTTGTAAAATGAAGACTTTAAGACAAAAAACTTTGTAGAAAATCTAAGAGTTTTTTCCTTAAACTTAGTTTATGAGCAGGAATGAAAAGACAGCCAAACACTCAAATCAGCTTTATTTTCACAAATTCAAAACCACTCCACCTTGTGCCTCATGAAAGGCAGGATATACATTTAAACTTCATCCCTTTTGATTGTTCTATTGTACTATAAAGTCTTATTTTGATAGTATTCATCAGTCAATAGATACTTTAATAACATTGTTTGACCATATTATCGAATTTAATAAACATTCAATATAAAACAATAGAATAGTAATAGTAGATATGAAATATAAAATGTACAACAGCTCAGATCAACTCTGGGCAGGGCTTTTCTGGTTTGCACTAAAGTGTAATCTAACCAGGAGACAACTCACAGATCTTAGGTTATGAGGGAAATGAGGCTTTTTCCTATTCACCAGAATACAAAGAGCGTGAAGTTGTCAGTGCTTTCCTGTGGTTACATATGAGTGTACATGAAGCACTTCAGTTAGTCCACACCGTAAGAGCATCGTCTACTTCAAAACACAATGAATTCAAGTCCAGTTCAGAGTTCAGAAAGAAGTGTGTTGTTGAGCTTGTGAAGGACAGCCGTGACACTGCCAAGTGTGTCTGAGTGAAGTCTGTTCTTCTCAAGTGCTGCTCTGCTTTACCTGCTTCAAATATGAGCTCACGTGTGCTGGTTTCCAAAAGGTCCATCAGTGGTCTGTCAAAGTTCAGTGTGCGTGCATATGTGTGTGTGTGTGTGTGCGTCTCTGTATGCACAGTCCTCAGCCCTCAGACCTGACTCTCTGCAGTGTTGACTGGAGGCTATTTCTGGCATTGCCACATGAATCTAGGGCCTTGTTGTTTCTGTGAATGATAAGAAGGGCAGAAAATAAAATATCTGTCCATTGAAACTGAGGGGTTGAATTATATAAATTTAAAAAAACAACAATGTGAACCCCTTCCAACACAAAAATGAGCAATCACCAGAGTGTGTCCGCCATCGTTACTATGTGCATCAAGTGCAAAAAACATTAATGTATGAGCTTCATTCCTGAGGATGGGATGGTAATTGCTGTATTTTTGTACCTGCATGATGCCTGCTGATTGGGTCATTCTGTCACGCCCTTACCGGGACATGAAGGCCTGCAGCACAGCCACATCCTCTTTGGGGAAGTAGTCCTGTCGAACAACGTGCTCCAAGGCGTGGAGGTGGCCGGGAACCACGAGCACAGGCTTCACCTTGTCCTCACTCTGAGCAGCCAAGAAGACAGGACAGAAGGAGGAGTAGGAGTGTGAAAAAGCAATGTAAAATGCAGTGCAAAGACCAAAGTGAGGAACGCAGAGAAGAGAAATGTAAAGGAAAGAAAAGACACTAGAAAGTGACAGTAAAGGAAGTAGGGCTGTCCCCTAATAGTCGAGTAAACTGTTAGTTGACGAGAAGAGTTGTAGTCAACACACTTTTCATTAGTCGGATATTTGCAGAAAAACAAAACTAGTGCCCATGTCAGGGGGACGAAAATGTCAAGGGAATGTTTTAACAGCTTTTCTCTTATAACACAGCGTCAATGAGCGCCATAGCCAGAGTGGGGATAACGGAGGTAACAGAACTAGGCTGAGCAGCCTCCCTGTGACCATGGACGGGACCGGACACAGCCTTGGACCAGGACTAGACACAGTGGATTCAGACAGGGAGAAGCGTAAAAGGAGAGAGGCTGAGGAGCGAGTTTGTAGCAAGTTAATTTTTGAGTAACATTATTATGCATCATACATCATATCAAGTCCATAAGTATTTGTTTTTGTAAAGTTGGAAGTTATTTATTCCATATTTTGAACAACTAGATGTGTGTGATGTTATACTGTGTGTAAATAAATTCAGAATCATTACTGCAATTTCTGTTATCATTAAACAGGCAGCTGCTCCAAAATATATATTAAAATAAATAAATGTATATCACAAACATTCCACGACCAGATGACTATTAGCTTTGGCTAACGACTACTGGTTGACTAGAGACATATTTAGTCAGGGACAGCCCTCGAAGAAAGAAACACTTCTGTACTGTAGCAAACTTGAAAATGTGCAGATTAAGCATACCTTGATAAGTCCAAGCAGAATCAACAAAGATGATACAAAGTTGTAGCCTTGGAAGGAAGGAGTGGCAAAAGCCTTCTTCAGAAGGGCATCTGTGAGAGAAAAAAACCAAGAACAATTTATTCCAAACTTATATTTTAACACTGTCAACACAAAAGAAAATACACAAATGTGTGTCTTGTTAACACAAATTCTTAATGGGGAATGAAGTGATGCATTAAAAAGGAAAAAAAAAAATTAAAAAAATCACCCTACAACAGTTTTGAATATATTGTATAAAACAAATCGAACTGGCATCTCTCCACACATGTTCGGTCATAGCTGTGGTGGAGACAGATTGATTAAAAGCAGCAGATTAATTAGACAATCATGAAATTCAGCAAATAGACATGTTTTCTTTTTGGTTAGAGGGAGAGTGACAGGAAATATGAAGACAGAGGAAGATAATGAATCAGAGCTGGTTGTGGACAAAGTTAAAGGAATAGTTCCACATTTTGGGAAATAAGCTTATTCGCTTTCTTGACAATAGTTATACGAGACAATCAATGTGACTTTTATTGTCTTGCGCTACTTAAGCTATAGTCAGCAGCAGGTTAGCTTAGCATAAAGACTGGAAACAAAGGGAAACAGCTAGCCTGGCTGTGTCAACCTGAACAAAGTCTGCACCTACTAGCACCTCTAATTAACACTTAACAAGAAAATCTTTCTGGGTAGCTTTCAAACTTGTTCTGGGTATCACTAGATGAGCTAAGTTGGTAGTACACAAAATGTTAAGTTAATTTGTAATGCTTTAAGGTTTCTTCCTCGTCAATCAACTATGTGCATACACAACTATAATCAAATCAACAAATGCAGACAAAGTATCTCACCAATGCTGTCCAAAACTGCATTCTTAACATCATTATTCTCCTCCTTGTACACAGATGCAATCTTGAGGAAGGCTTCAGCTGTTTTTGTAGCATCTGATACATCCACCTATCCACAGAGAAAAGAAGAAACATTTACTTCACGGCCACCCTGCTATATGTACATTATCAAACCGATGCATCTTGTGCTCATTGGCATCCAGTAAACACACAGGACACATGTTAACTTCAATACATTTCTTTTAGCATTTAGTAGTTGTTATTAACAGATTGTTGCAGTTCTGTAGGTTAAAATGGTGTGCATGTATTTTCTTCCCTGTGTTTACCTGCTGCTCAATCAGCAACGCTCTCTTGGCCCCCAGTTTGAGCAGTTTGTCTGGGGATGGAAAGCTGAGGAAGGAAGAGACATCTGGTGGCCGGGGTGCTGACGTAGGGGTGGACAACTATGACGAAAAGGGGAGAAAAAAGAAAGTCAAGTGAATAACAACCCCAAACTAACACGAACATACACATACAGCTAGGGCGGCCTTTAGATTGATGAACATATTTCCTGGTTTTCCCTGAGATGTCGTCCACCTGCTCTGCTTCAACTTTCCTGATGAAAATATAGCTGAAGCTACTTCAGCCGCTACCTAGATGCTGATGTTAACTGGTTAGCCATGCAGCTATCTTAGCTGTCATGTTAGGTGACTCTGGCAGTACTGGGTGTTTAACAATACATCTCTAGCACAGGAGCTTTAGACAGCCAGGAGTGCCTGTGCCTCGAGCACTCAGCCTGTTAGCAGCAGCTAAAACAGGAAATATCTAAGTTTGCACACGATTATTATTTAACACTTTGGCCTCATTTAGTATCAACATCCAACACTGTAACATTATATACGACACAAACTAAGGAAAAGTATAAAACTTCCCTTTAAACTTCACTCAACTCATGTATGTAATTAATGCCTTGATCATCATTATCATATTTCTGTTACCTTGATGCCACTGCTTTCCTCTTCCTCCTCCTCTTCTTCCTCTTCCTCGTCGATTTCCTCATCATCCACTTCCTCCTCATCCTCGTCCTCATCTTCATCTTCGTCCTCGTCGTCATCTTCTGGCTCACCCTCGTCGTCACTGAAGCAAATTAAAAACACAGCTCATTAGTGAGGATTTTGTTCTGGGATGAGACTTCTTGAATGATTGCCACACTCGTTTTTTTAGATGCACGTGTGCTCCATTCTGCCCTCGACACTTTTATATGCGTCACACAGTAGAGAACTAAGAGCAGGCATAAAAACAGTACAGATGGGATATTAGATTAACACGCGTGCTGTGGTTGTACCTGCGGACAAAGCGTGTGGAAATATCGCTTTTCTACTTTGTACTTAAGCTGTTGTCAAGTTGATAAAACTGCACCAGACTCACTGCTGTCTGTCTGTCTGTCTGTTCTGTTCTGTGTTTATGTACACTGAGCCCTGCCCTCTGTCCTACAGAAAGGCCAGAGAGGCAAATGAGACCATAAATGACAGCAAAATGTGGCAGAAAACTCTCATAGTTTTGTTCTTTTTATTTGGGCACTGTGAAAAAACTCCATCTAAAAATATTATTATTATGATGATTATGATATGATGATGTTAACTGATCCTAAGTTGGTTTTGGTGGTGCCCTATGCACAGTGCATGATGTGTGTGTACATAGCAGTGGTGCTGCTCTCTCTCCACTGTGTATATTTTGAACATCTTGGATATGATAAAATCAGATTAACGTGAAAAACAGTCAGTGTCTAGGACAGCTAAGTGAACATGACCTGTGGTGACGCCACAGGGTGGATTTGTCAGGGACAGTGGAAATCAGGCTTACATCCAGGTTGCCATAGTGACAAATTTCCGAGAACAAGCCTAATGGCTTGACAGGTTTAAGGTCGAGGGTTTGGGTTGTTTGGCGAGCACGTTGGGTTCTAATAAATACAGCTGCCAGTCATTATCAACTGTACTGTGTACTTGCAATCCAAAGAATAAAGTACTTGTACCAAATGAAGTAAAGAGTTTTGTTGGTCTGTGTCTCAGTGTTTGGGTCCTACGAGAATGATGGTATTTATTATTAGTTATTTAAGGTCATTGAAGACTTATCAAAGGAAGAAAATAAACCATGACAACTGGAGTTTGCATGTTCTTGTGTCTTTGCTCTGGTAGCCTGTCACAGTCCAAGCACAAAGAGGTCAAATAAACTGGAGACTCTAAATTTAGCATCGTGTTAACTCTGTCATAGACTAGCATCCTGTCCTATTGCTTCTCACACAGTTCATGTTGGAACAGGCTGCAGGCCCCAATGACCTACAACAGGGTAGACAGGCGCAGAGAAAGGATAGACGGATTTCATTAAATACACCACAGGGGCTAAAGTAGGACGTGATTACCTGAGTGATCCTAGAAGGTCGCCCATGTTCATGCCTTCCATGGACTCTTTCAGAGCTTTGCAGCCATCCTCTCCTAGATAGTTACCTGAAAACCAAAGAGATCATTTTAAACAGTGGAGTCAAGGGAACCAAATTAAACAAAATAAAGTCTCTAAATAATGTCTCTACAAATGAAACACAAAGCAGTAGCACTGGAGATGAAAGTCATCACTGATATTTCAGCTCTTTGCAGGTTTGTACCATTTAGGTCCAGTTTCTCCAGCTGGTCTTTGCCCTTTACTGCATGTGCCACAGCCAGAGCAGCTTCCTCTGTAATCTCCCCAAATGACAGATTGAGTTCCTGTTAAACATAACGGGATATTTACTCAGAAGGGAAGAAAAACATTGAACAAATAAGAAGAATTAACTAAGAAAAATACAGGAAAATAAAGACGTTTCAGAATAAACTTGATATAGAAATAGTAAAATCTTAGTTTATTTATATAGGACACTTAGTAAAGTATACTCCTCACTCACCCTGAGTATTGGTAAACCCTCCAATACACTTTCTGCAATAGCTATGGCTCCTGCTGGCCGCACCAGACAGTCTCCAAAGTTTATCACCTGGATGCTGCGTAGGTGTTTCAGGGCCTGTGAAGGACACAGATATTATCTGCTACAGATTTTCAAATTTCAAAGCCTGAAAAGAGAATAATTAGGACTATATGAACGGGATTGCATTCTGGGACTGTTTGCAACTGTTTCATTACATATTCATCATAACAACTTTATAAAGGTGATAATATGTTTGAGTATGTGTTTTGCAGCTTGTTCTAGTCTTTTTATTATTATTTATTTCACCAATTATTTTGACAAAGAGCATTTTATTGTCGGCAACTGTCCCCTCATTTGCCAACAGTCTAAAACTAATGTCTGATGTACCTGAGCCATGGCGATAGCTCCCTTCTCAGTGAAGGTGTTGTCATTGAGGTTGAGGATGCGGAGGCCTGAGTTGTGCTGCATGGCTGTGGCCAGTGCTGTTACTCCTGGGTGATTGATGCCATTCTGGGGCATGTGAACCTCCTCCAGGCTGCCTATCAACTGGGAAAACAAGTTGTAATGTAAGATTAATTTATCTACAAAGTCACGCAGTATTTTTACACAGAGAACTGCACCAGCTTGTCTACAATCACAAACTCTTACAGCTTTGAACAACTATCGTCAAGAAGTCAAATAACTGACAATATGAGTTGCACACATATAAGCTGGTCTGAGATCAGTATTTGAAATTAATTATGCAGAGGGATCCAGGAAGGCAAGCTGTAGTAAAATCTCTCACAATGGTTTGATCAATGGTGGTTGTTTCTGCAGAACACTCTTATCAGTGTACAAGTAAAGTGTTCGAAGCTCAAGAAGTAGTTAGTCCCGTACCTGGAAGGCATGAGCGAGGGCAGTGGCTCCATCGTTCTCCAGTCGGTTCCTCCCGGCAACAAACACCTTCAGGCTGAGGGGGGTGCCCTTTTCACTGGATTTTCTATGGCACTGGGTCAATGAAGCAGCCAAGATCTGAGGAGTCCATAAACAAGAGATGTGTTCAACTCTGCTGACCATGCATCCAAACATCAAAGGATACTGATACAGTGATATTTAATAGGATCTACAAAGCATTTATATACTTATATATAATTTTGTTTCTTTGTAATTTCTAACAATTTTTGTATGGCTGCCCCCTAATATTCGACAACGCCATTAGTCGCTGAGCAGGGTCTTAGTCAACCCGTTTTTCATCAGAAAAAAATAACAATAATAACAATAATAATAAGTGTCAAATTCTGTTGAGGATAAAAGTAGACTTTGAGGCAGGACAGTCGTTTGGATTGCATTCGAGTGTACAGATGTAACTAATAACAATATACCAATGTAGATGGAGACATTCCTGTGACTGACCTTCCCCCCTCCAATGCCCATGCCACAGTTGTTGAGCCGTAGCTCTTGCAATGTGTAGCAGGCGGTGCTCTTGAGCAAATTCTCGATGCCCTTCACCCCATCTGGTCCAAAGGCGTTGTCACTGAGGTCTAAAACAGTCAGCCTGGCACCCGCCAGCATCAGAGCGTCACCCAATGAATTCTACAACACAAAGACAGGAAGAGTAAGGCAGAGCAGCAAAACAAATATGACATATAGTTACACCTAGGTAATAAATCAGGAAAAGAGACGGACATGATAAGTGTGCAACGCCTCATTTAACAAGTTCTGACTGGAAACCTTAACTTGTTTTGACATGGACAATAATGTGAAAGAAGAAGTGCATTACCAGGGCAGGTGGGATCTCAGAGCGCAGGCGACCTGTGAACATGTCACTCCAATAACAGCACTGAAAAGGAGAGAATAAAGATGTACAGTGTGGATGTCAGCCAAGAGACAATCTCAAATATATTATTATTACATAAAAAATCTAAAGGGAAACTTTGCGCAGTTATGTAAAGTACTGTACAATAGATTGGTCATTAATAACCTGCCAATATTTAAACAAGCCATTAATTGTTTACGCCTTGTTTCAAGAAAAATGCATAAAAAGTGAAGAGTAAACAGTCCAAACCTTGAACTCGTTCTTTGTCTCTAGGGCCTTGGCGATGGCCTGTGCTGCCTCCACACCTATAGTGTTTCCCTCCAACCTCAGGGCCTTTAAACCCTTGAAGTCCTCGATCTCCTTCACCATTTCCTTCACTGGAGAGGGGGAAACAGTGTTAGGGGTTACAGGTTGAAAATTAAGAGAGGAAGAGTAAAGTGTAATGGTAATTTCAATAAACAGGTAAGAAATAAAAATCATTAAAACCAAGACTTTTGTGTATTTTGGCAATCACTACATCTAACTAAGCCTCGCTGGCTTATAGGTAGGTTTTCTGGGACACAAAGCAAGCTCAGTGACAGCTGACACTCACCTGACTGGGCATCATCCAGCTTTCTTCCCTGGCCCTTGTAGCTCAGCTCTCCTTCCTCTACTCCAGTCTTGGCCAGGGAGTCGGCCAACTGCGCAACAATGTCGGTCGCCATCGGGACACCTGAGGGACAAAGACACGCTTTTCATTATTTAGCTTCATAATAATCCTGGTCCCTGCAACCAGTTCTGTCCAGGGAAATAGTTTCCTCTGCCCCATAAGTAACACTCATTACCAGTATATAACCAAAACACTGAGCACCCAAGAGAAGCAGTTTAAAGTCCAAAACATACAGTTTTGTATGAACATTGTGGCTTTAACCACTAGTTGTTTCTGGAAAGCTCAGACAGAAACTGCTGAAAGTGCTGTTTTCGCTGATGGACAATCCACCCTAAAACAGTATTTACATATGCAGTACGATATTACAGAGGGGCTAAGATTTAAATCATGGATTTGAACGTGTCTTTTTGAATGACACACAGTAAACAGATTGCAAAGATTTAACCCTAATATAACTTGTCCTACAGTTAGCAACAGTATGAGCTACTATGCTGTAACTTTAACAAATAGTTGTTCAAGTAAGATAACGTTACTAATGCAGTGACTAACTCCACTCATAAAACATTAATTTTAATATCCATGCTCATTCAAAACAGGAAGACAGTGTGGTTTTACACGGACAGGCTTCACGGTCTACACTGATCCATATTAAAGTTGTTTTGGGGTAGATTTCCACCTGTACGCAGCCCAACAGCGGCTAACATTGGCTGCTAACATGATGCTAACACACCCACAAACAACATAACGGGTCGGCGTCAGAGGAGCCGTTATTGACGACTACCGGTTCAGTAAAGTATCACGGGCATTAACAGATACCCAACGCGTTTATTCCGGTGGCTGAAGGACTATAAAACGGGTATTTTAACCAGCTAGCTAGCACGGGTAACGTGTGACAGAGCATGGACTCGGCCTCTCCGGGTCGGTCATCTAACAACCGCTGACAACCGACGGTTGAGCAGTCCGTCTGTCCGGTGCTCGGTTTGTGTCGGTTATTACAGAAACTGTAACCCGTTAAATAATCTACACCCGATACAAGTGAGTCTGAGCATTACCACAACACCGCGGCGCTGATTGAATCCAGTCCAGGGACACACTCCCGCTCGCTCCGGACGTTCAAAACTGAATCCTGCACACTGTCTGACTTGACGACCACAGAGCTGCGACACAAGGGACTTGTAGTTCAATTAGACTACAACGGTGCGTTCACGTGCTTCTTCTCAACGCTTCCACATGTAGTCTGTCGGAAATACCCTCTGTAGCTTTGTCTCGCAGTGGGACAAATAAGAAAATGTACTATGTAGTAACTTATTTGCTTTTTGTTTTATTATTTTAATGTCCAGCGGTGTAGTGCAGGGTATACGCAGATATACAGAGTATACCCACTTATTTTTCAGTCAGCACTCGGTATATACCCACTTCTAATGACACAGCTGTCCAATTTTCATGAGTGGAAAAGTAAGGAAAAGTAAGTTAAGTAATGAATAAGAAATACTCAAATGACTATGGTGTCCCAGGTAAAGACAGGTTAGTCTACAGTCAGGCTACATCCCATTAGACTAGGGCTCCCTTTCCTTTTTATAACAATCAAGGCTCTTACAAACACCTTTTCATCTCACATATTGGAATATTGTTGTGTGCAATGTATGCAAATTGTGACAATAAAAACATCATGTATGTAAACAACTGGTTAAGCTACCCAAACAGATAATATTATTAATAAATATATATTTCAATGTCACTTACAGGCAGCAGTTTTTAACACTACGTCTACTTCCTGTAATCAGCACCTCACTGGAACCTTTTGTTTGTGTTTTATACATTATACAATACAGCCAGCAACCAGTCATTTGCCTAAACTGGTACGGTTAGATTTTACATTTAGCATGTCAGTTAGTTGGGTAGCAGAAGATGATAACAACAGTGAACATGAAAACTACAAAGAATCCTGGTTCTTATTTCTGAAATGACACCCTGACATGAAATTCTCTGAACTTCTGTTCAAGCTGTCTGTTGTACCTTGGTTTTATTTCATAGAAATGTGTGCAGTTGTGATGGATTAAGGCTTTGCTCAGGTTCACTGAACCAAAGGCTGTTTTTTTACAATCCCAAAAGTCAAGTTTCAGAGAGACTCAAGATGTTTATTATTGCCAAACAAGTACAATTGTGTGAAGGCTGCTGCTTAAGGCTGCGGTCGGTACGTGGAGAGTAGCACGGACATTGGACACACAGTTAAACCACGGCTGCTGGTTGGGCATCTTCATTGCTGTTGTATCATCATCATCGCGCACATCCTTAATGAAGTTGGCGACGGCGTCCGTGAAGTCGCTGATATTTTCTACGGTCCTGAACGCCTCCCAGCCCACGTGATCAAAACACTCCTGCAGGGCGGCCTCCGATTGGTCAGACCCGCACTGTACGCTCTTCCGCCTCGGCCTATAGGTTGGGAGGAGGAGGACGGAGGAGGGCTCTGATTGGCCGAACGGCGGGCGGGAAGTGATCCACCATGTCTTCTGCTCGTGTGTTGAACTGGATGTGTTGGTGCAGTTTGGGTAATATGTACGTAAGATTGGCCCGGTTAAAGTGCCCGGTTACCCGACGTCGTGGTCTGGTTCCTCAGCAGTCAGCCAGGTTTCTGTGAGGAAGATCACGCTGCAGGTCTCGATGTCCGACCCGGCAGAGATCCGCGTCTGTAGCTCGCACAGGTTGTTTTCCAGAGACTGTATGTTGGCCAGTAACACGAGTGGGAGTTGGTGAGGACGCCTCTTCCTCAGCTGGACCTTAACCCCGACTCGGCTGCTTCGGGCCCCGTGACCACTAGAGGGGCCCCCAAGAGCAATTAACTTAAAAAAGAAAAAAGTAATTATTTTTTTTCCATGTGTGAGTGATGATGATTCATATATTATCAAATGTACATTCTTGTACAACCCCCCCCAGAAACCCAACAACACTGTGATGTTAACAGAGTGTAGTTTCCTACTGACTCTCGTTAGTAACGTGTGCAGGAGCTAGGAGCAGCTGAATGATGTCACAATAAAGGACTTACCTGTTACCTTCAGGGCAGGAAGAGGAAGAGAGAGGAAGAGGAGAAAAAACTGGATGGCTTTTTGGCTTCAAAACAAAGTTTTTGATAACAATGTTTGATAGTAAATGTTTAATAACTAACGGTAATTACAAACGCGGTGACGTTTGCTAGCAATATGGTTTTACATTAATGAATTAATTTAGTTAACTTATAGTTTGAGGTATGTTGTTTGCAATTGTTTGCTGCAGAGCACAGTAATTTATGTGAGTAAATAAACATATTCCTTTTACATCAACTCCCTATTGTGCTCATACGTTATATGAAACTTCCCCAGGAGCACTGTTAAAGTATTTAGGAGGAGGCACTGACTCAGCCCAGGGGCAATCCACCTCCTAAGTAGCAGCCAAGGCTGATGAATCAGGTGATCAAACACTGTCACCATATCTATTTAATTTCTAGTCAAATTATCTCATTAAGATATACTAATATAAGATCTAATCATATGACAAGGGACATGTTTTTCATCTCAGGTCCATCTCTATCCTCTGCTCCATCCACTGTGCCCACTGTCCTCTCTGCAACCTCAGCTGTACCTGGTAAGTTAACAACAAAACAGCTTTTATAATTGCTCAGTGTACTGCAAAATATTCTGAGATGAATAATTTTGTCCAAAAATATTATTTTAATTTCCCTATAGGTCCTTCATCTTTGGTCATCAAGATTGATGTGTCTTCTTCAGCATCCAGTTTGGAGCAGGGTTCAGCAGCTCCGCCAGTTGACCCAGCTGAGTCTTTCCTGTCAGACTCAGAAAGGACTGAACAGGTATTAAGAGGGCCACTGCCTATAAAGGACACATTCACATTCCCAAAAAGACACATGGCAGTAATAGAGGGCCCCAAAATCAAATTTTGCTTAGGGCCCCATGGAGGCTTGGGCCGGCCCTGGCCCCTGTGTTTCTTTTTCGGGTAATTTTGAGCCAGGATACAGAGTGAGGAAGTCTCCGCTGTGCTCTTCTCCCTGATGCTTAGAAGTATCTCTCTGCTGTAGGTGACCCTGGGGGTTTCTGTCATGTTGCTGCTGTCGTTTGCGACTGCGGTCAAGCCAGCCTACACATCGTGAACGACCCAGTTTTTTGCTGTACGTGATTATAGTAGCTTTACGGTAATAGCGTCTCAGAACTGGTTTCAAAATAAAAGCCCGTCAAAGTGTCAAATATGAGACTAATTACATATGATTTGGGATTCAATTTAAAAGGAAACGCCCTGTTATCAAAGAATAATTCCACTTCAGGGTTATAGTATACGACCCCATAGTGTGACCCAGTAAGTTTCAAGACATTCTGATAGATGTATATTTTTTAAACCCTATCCATGTAAAGATTTCTGATATACAACATGTTCTATGTATTATTAAGAGTTCTAGTTGTGACATCAAATTATAAATACTTATCTTTTGCATGCCTTTAAAAGCAATTTCAAAATTCTATCACTGGGTTAAAATCATTAGAAGTAGTTATTCCTGTTTTGATTTCACATTTTTCCTTTTGGCCCTATTCCTCTAGCAAGTGGGCGTCATTGCTGTTCACATGTCTCCTGGTTTAAATATTCTAACCATCAATATTTTTCTTTACATTGAAAGTTATTCTTTTCTCTTTGTATGATCACAGTGGAGGAGAATAGTACGGTCTTGCAAGTATAGGAATCCTAATTTTGATGACTAAGACAAAGTTCGGGGTCGCCTGAGCTCCATTACTCTACAGTCCAGCCCCATCTTTGCAGAAACCATTTCACCCCACCAGGAGTTCCATCATTGAACCTCTAGGCAGCGGTATAGGGTCCTCATCCATTAACTTCGGTTTACTACTTGATTGTTCTACTTCGATGGATACTGTAATACTTTTTTATTCAATTAACTTTGTACATTTTTATTTTTTCATACTCTTATACATACATGTGTCTGTTAAATACCCAACATGTATTTATTTTACAAATGTATTTTTTATTGTTTTGTACATTCACAACAAACTTTATAATAATATAAGCTTTACATTTTGAAATTAAATAGAATAAAAACAGCTGTAACCATATTGGAGTAACTACGTATTTAAATTTAGAGAATATGAAAAAGTGAAAATAATAAATATGTAAAAAAATAAATATAATAAAGATACATTTTCAAGTATCCAGTTTAGCGTTAGCTTTTTCAACATATACACATTTTTTTCTGTAAATACTTTAACTCGTTTGCCAAAGAGTATTACACCTGCTGTGTAATGGTTCAGAATGTAAATACTCTGTCCATGTTTACACTGGTTGGCAAAGAGATGGAAGAGGCCCTCCATAACCTAAATTAAAAAACATAGATAAAGACAGAAGAAGACAAAATAAATAGAGCGGATTACACAATAATCACAGGTTTAAATAAACAATGTAAAAATACAATCCTATTGGTATGGAAAGTTATTCTTTTTTTGTCAGAACTTGGAATTCTTTTCTCAATAAAGTCTACATAACAAGTTTATTTTTGATATTTTATTGTATTGTGGGTAATGTTGGAACAACCAAATACCTTGCCTGTCAGCCATCGGTGAGATCTCAGCGAGCACAGTTCGCTGTGATGGATCACAAAACTGTGACCTGGCTGTGTGAGGGCCGGGATCACTGCAGTTTCTGTGCTCTTCCTCTTCCACAGTGACTTTAGCATAAAAACAAATTTACACATTTTTAATACTTATATAGTCCCAATAATATCCCACATATTAATGATAAATTAAACAAAACTCTATATAATCAATCTCAAATACTGTAAGTTAAATTCCATTAACTTATGTAAAATGAGCTATGTCAACGTAACACCAGTCGAAAAAGCAGCAATACAAAATACCTGTAATATGGTACATCCTCAGGTAATGAACTCATCACTAAATATATATTCTAAATACATGCAAGGATGATATGCTCATAGGGCAATGACTGAAGTAATTTCTGTTGAATATTCAAATACAGTTTAAGAATACTGCTATCAGTCATGAAGATGAATCCTACCCGCTTTTCTTCCACTTCTGACATCTTCAGGTTGTCTTCCAAAGGGGGAGGTGAAAGTATCTGAGTACATGCTCTTTCCATCTCCTTGACTGATGGTTCATCATGGTTCACAAGGTGAACTATGAGGTTTGGTGTTTTTAATGTATTCTTCTCATGGAAGTCGTTGACTGTGGCCACTATGACGTCAGCACACAATGGTAGGGGCATGTTGAAGATTCCAGAGCTAATGTCTGGAATGGCGACTGACTTGAAATGGTGTTTTCAGACTTGTTTCAGTATATATAGTATATATGTGTATGGCTTTTTTAAAAACTGTTTTTTGCATTGTACAGTGCCTTTGGGGATGGATTCAGATTGAGTCGTGGGCCGACAGCATGAATTATTTTTGGACAGGGGAGATCACCAGCGCCTGTAACAATGGCCTCTCCCGTTTTTAATTTTCCAAACTTCCGAATGTGTAGGTCACTCTTGTATCCTTGGCCCTCCAGCTTTGCTTAATGCCAGTGCAAGCCCGCCTTTGTGTCGCAGGTCCTCATTTGCAGCATTGACAACAGCATCAACAACAAATGCTGTTAGATCGGCCTTCCAGACACATACTTCCATTTTTTGAGAAAGTTTAACTGAAAACCTCTTCACTTGTTGAACCGGAGCTGGTTTTTGTCTTGGAGACTGCAGCGGTGGTGGTGGTGATGCATCTTCCACCAAAGTGTCACTGTCTGCGACGACAGTTACCTCTCTATCAATCTGTAAACATGTTATGTATCAGGTTATATAAATATTTTTTCTTTTAGAAGTCTTGCTTTCTACCTTTTTGAGAATTTTTAACATACACAGAAATGTAATTCTTTGTTTAGCAATAAGCCATAATTTAGTTACAGCGGTACATTTACTATACCTTCTCCTTTGATTTTTGGAAGGTGAATGGCTTGCGGATTGGAGTTACATATGTCCCCCTCTTATTCTGTTGCCGTTCCTTCCATTTCTCAGCATCCACTCTGAATGTCTTCACAAATAAGTATACTATCCAAATTCATATGTAATTTGTCTCATATTTGACACTTTGACGGGGTTTTATTTTGAAACTATACATCAGAATGTCTTGATACTTACTGGGTCACACTACGGGGTCTACTTTGACGGGCTTTTATTTTGAAACCAGTTCTGAGACGCTATTACCGTAAAGCTACTATAATCACTTACAGCTAAAAACTGGGTCGGCTGGTGCTGGTGCTCGTAAGATATCAGCTGTTAATAAAGAGCCTCAAACACACCCACAGTGTGGCGCTCACGGTGTTTTAGGCTACCTGGCCACGTTCCCATCCCCCCCCCCCCACCACCTTATATGAGGTAGGTGTGTTGTGGGCGGGGCCGGAACCAGGAAATGAACACATGATTTGTTTGTGTCTTTTGAGACAAATAGTTAATTAAATTAATTAATTGTTTGTGATCAGGTTGTCTTTGTTAGGTCATATTCAGTTTATGTTAAGTTGTGTTTAGTTGACACATTTATGGGACCAGACCTTTATTGTGTATTTTGTAAATTCTTTAAAGGGACATTGTGTAGTGTTTTAAGTATTTTATTAGCTAAAATCAATGTCTTCCTTCATAAATGTGTCCTCATTGGTGTAAAATTACCTCTGCCAATGATCTGACTTATCCTATGTTTCTCTTCTGTATATACATTGGACGGGCAAGTCCGTGGAGGCTTCCATGTCGTTCCGCCATTTGGAAAAACTATAATCGCTGAGAGGGACATAAAGCACTAGTCTACCTGTCTAGCTAATCCACAACACGTTTTCGTTCAGAGCCAGTGTCACAGGACTGAAACCAGCTATAACAGAGAAGGAATCCTTGTCACCAAAAAAGGAAAAAGGGAATTAAAAAGGCATCGTGACCGTCAAATTCAAAAAACGAGGGTAAACATCGGGGTAGCTTTTCCCAGGTGGAAAGAGCTAATGAAGGAGAAAGACTTTCAAAGGGACGCTGAAGTTGCCTGCTTTCTCCTCGACAGGCAGGCTTCTTGGTACATAACGGCTACCGTAGTTGCAATACGCATTTGAAAACACGAGGCACTAGAGAGCACTATTCGTTTGAATGCAAAATACAATTTCACCGCTAGATGGGAGAAATTCCTACACAATGTCCCTTTAATTTGTGGGAAAATAAAAGCTGCTTTTTGAAAATTCACTTTTGTGCCGCCTATTATTTAATTATCTGAGTGGTTTGGGGTTTTATTCTTTTATATTTATTCCCATTTAAAGAGGTACTCCACCCTAAAACGTGTTTTTTGAGCTGTAAACTGAATGATATGACTACACTGTGATTAAACATTTTTTAAACTGTTTTTTCTCTATCCTCTTTGCTGCTGCAACATTGGAATTTCCCCATTGTGGGACAAATAAAGGAATATCTTTATAGAATTATCTTATCTTATCTTATCTTAAACACATCAATGCTGCTGTTAAAATTGACATCAAAATTTATGAAAATGTGCATTTTGCACCCTGGTATATTTCTGTGGTTGCTATGTAATTATTAAATGCTTTTAAAAAAGTCATAATTATGTTACAAAAAGAAACACATTGTCCCTAAAGTCAGGGGCCATGTATAAAAAGTATGGTTTATTTACAACAACAGGTCAAAGAAAGAAAAGGTATCCCATAAAGGACATCTATAATGCAGTTCGATTAAGATTTCAAAGCAAAGAGCTCCACCAGGTGTCTCAATGGCACATCCTCACATCATCATTATAACAGAAATATAACTTTTAATTATGCAGTTTATGTACAGACCATCAATAACACACACTGGTGAACAAATACAGGTATAACCCACATGTTTGAACATATACTATTGACTGAAGAGAGACACAGATGGGAGAGTACTCATCATATGTGCCACACTGACTATCAAACACATATGTTACAGACTAATGTAAAGTAGATAATGTTGTACATACTCCGGTACTGTAGGTGGCAGTAGGAAACTAAAAGTTGGTATTGCAGTCCACCAAGAAAAATGCAAAGAAGAAGAGTTGCATTTGGCAACTGGTTCAGGGATGGACTGGGTTGCTGGGAATCGAAAGTTAACCGGGGAGTGCGAAGTCAGATACGAAGCCTCGTCGGGTTTCTTCCTCTTCGGCTCGCTGTTTATCAGCACCAGCACGACCCTTCATATGCAGAGAGCTGTCAAGTCTGTACTCCCCTTTTGCTTGACACCACACGCTTTTAAACTTTGCTTGGGTTCAATGAACTTACTCCTTTCATCAGGTAGGTGTTTCTGAAGTTGGCCCAGTCGCACCATGACAGCCAGGGGAACACGCAAGGGTCGGGTCAGGGCATGAGGGGGGGTCTGCATGCTGGATGTTTGTGCATGTAATGAATGGACACGAACACATGCTCAGTGAGTGTGCTTTGTGACAAAGAGTTGGTTGTTTCTTGCTTTCTGCTTCTAGAGGAAGTGGGCGTGCAACAGCTACATTTCACCGTCAGCATAGCATTAGTCTGTCTTTTGCTACTTTACCCACTTGCGGTCTTCTTGTCTTCTTCCCAGTGACCGAGCGATGGATCCTGCCAGACGGAAACGCAAGGAGGAGATAAGCAAATCTCTGAACTTTATACAGTGAGATGGTTGTTTTTAAATCTGAGCACACCCTTGGTACAAAGTGAAACCTACCCTGGCCCTGAACTACTTATAATATTGATAACTGAGCTAACTCAGTACTTTTCTGAGCAAGTTTACGTCTTGTGTTCTAGGTCTTCCCTGGCTTATCCAGATCCTGAGGGCTACCAGGTACCAGCTGTTATTACAAACATAATGTTATGTCTGTCTCTTGCACTGTTGGTTACATGCATATTATAATCCACACTTGAGCATACGTTATTGTGTTTCTCCTTTACACTTCTCTGTCTTGTCTTCCTGTCATCTTTCCTCTTCATTCCTGGCTGCTTGTAAACTCAAGGACTGGGCAACTGTGTAGTGTCTGGAAAAAGTTGTGCTGCACATGGCAGATATCAACAACATAAATAACTTAGATCTGGGATCCAGAGCTTTTGAGACAAACCACCAGCATTACATATATGTTTTGTTTTTTTTTCCTCCTCCCAGGACTTCCTGACCCAGTTAGTGTGCAACCTACTCGAGGAGGGCAATGCTTTGTTCCGAGACAGAGAGTGGGAGCAGGCGGTGAGAGAGTTCAGTGAAGGCTTGAATGTCTCCCACTACGCTACAGCAGAGGCTCTCCAGATCCCAGAGGCTTTGCTGGAGAGCCTGTATGTCAACCGGGCTGCTGCCTACCACAGTATGGTGAGACACATTTGGTCCTGTGTGTTTCTGAGACTTGCCCCGCATATTTGCAACCGATTGTTTCAGTGAGGCTCTCAGAAAGACACTTGTGAATAGGGTTGTGACAAACACTTCTGCACACCCAAATCTGATGTGTGTATGAGTCAGTCAGCTGTGATGCCAGATAAAAGTAGATCAACCCATTATAATTACTGGTCATATTTCAACCTCCCTCTACGGTTAATCTTTAATATCCAGTAGGTGGTTAGTCCACTACAGGTTGTGCTATCTTTGAGAGACCCAAACATGAATATGTTTGAATATATACATTATATGTAATGTATATTATGATAATTCATATCTAAAATGAACTTTTTGTGTTTTTCTCAATTCAAAATATTTGCCTGTTTTACTGCTGTTTATACATCATAGATGTTTTTTATAGTACCATTTAGTTGTGCTTTTCATTTGGGATCACTTGTATAATGACTCCTTTGTCAGTCTGAACAGGGTTTCACACTACCTGCGTGGGTTAATAAAAACAACTGGTCCATCATTTTGGTCCTGTAATAGAAACGTAAATGAGTCTGAAACAGACCTCGTCTTAAGCAGAAGAATTGTGTTTATTAAGCTGCAGCAGGGCACAGCCAACAAACCTAATAAAATGCAGCCAGTTTCACTCAGCATATACTATAGGTTTATTTTATTTATATCAATATACCAAAATGAATCATTAATCTTAGACCACAAATCCCACAAAAGGAACCGAAAGCTCACAAACGACGAGTAGAACTGGCAGCTGCGTTCCATGTTAAGGTGCATTTGCATCAAACAGGATACGAGCAAACCAAGTTGTCTTGAGACTCAACTGAACTTGAACAAGGAAATTACTCATGTGTATATACACCTTTTGTACAGATGATGACTCTTACTGACTAGACAATGTCTGGTGACTACAGTAACTTAAGTATACAGGCACATCACGTCTGAAACCCATTCTTTACCCATCGTCTTTTCTTGTCCGGAAACATTCTTCCCTGGTCCCCCTGACCTGAACTAACCCAGCAACCCCACAAAACTCCTCCACTCTGTATCTTTCTTCCAGGGCATATTCTGTTCATATTCATATCACAGATACGTATTCTTTCCACAGTTGAGTTACATTTTCCCCCATAACACATTACAATACATCTATAAGTGCTGTTATTGAGTCATTTATTATTTTGTGTGTGGGTGGGGGGTGTTAGCATAGTAATTGTAAGCATATTAGCAAATTGACATTAGCATTTAGCTCAAAGCACTACTGTGCCTAAGTACAGCCACACAGAGCCACTAGTGTAAGCTAGCTGTAGACTCTTTGTCTTGTTTTCCGGTGAGAGATAGTTTTGGATTTTAGCAAATTTATGATGGCAATTTGGCATTTGAGCATTTTATACACTGAATGTGAATGAGTAAACAATAATGCACACATTAATTTAGAAAAAGAAATGGTTGTAAGCGGTAAAATCAGGCTGGTGATCGTTCCATCACACCAAGCCCAATCAGACTTTATTTGTTGAACACTTTTCATATACACCAAAATGTAACACAATAAACACACACAATATATAAGAAAATAGCAATTAAAAAAAAAAAGCTGTAATAGAAAAAGAAAACAATTACCAGTAATTCCATTTAATTAATACCTTAATTAAATGTAAGGTTAAAAAAAAAAAGAATAACTTAACATTCCTGCAATGGCTACTTTAGTAAAGAAATACAGTTATGTTGAAGGTAAATATGTAAAAATTAAATGTCTGGTTTTATCCATAATGTGTTTAGCTGATATTCCTTAAAAACAAATATCAAATTCAGTTAACTGCTGGAATTGGGAAAACCTGAATTTTTGGCTTGCAACAGTCAGCAGCAGTCTCTGATGTCTTGTAGGTGGAAAATAAGGCAAAAAGGAAAAGAAATACAGTTTTACACGTAAAAACACAGTGCATAGTTATCTGTGAATCAAATTACAGAAGTCAGTTTAAACATCAGAATCATAAATAAATAGACTATAAGGGGCTGTGCCTTGATATATAGCATTGTGTATATATAGTCTTCATCTAAACTGGACTTGAAAATGAAGAAGATAATTCAAACTGTTAATATAACTGTGTAATATTGAATCATATTGAATTTTATTTTTATACTAATATAAACCTTTGTGCATAAAATTAAAGTAATTTAGTTACACGTTATTTGTGGGCTGAGCTTGAGTTCATTTGAATTCTTTCCTTTACTTTCATCTCTCATTTTTTCCGCAGGGCGAGTATGATCAAGGCGTGAAGGACTGCGACAAAGCTCTGAAAGTGTGTAAGGAAAGCTGCAAGGCCCTCTACAGGAAGGCACTTTGTTTGAAGGAGCTTGGAAAGTACAGGGAGGCCTACAACTGCACCACGGATTGTCTGCTCATCACTCGTCTGGTAAAGGCAGGACAGAAGGAAGAAAATGCTGTCAGAATGGGCGTAAATGTAAACCAGTGTGTAGGATTTAGTACCATCTAGCAGTGTAGTTACAGACAGCAACTCTGTTTCTTCACCCTACTCTTCCAAGCACGAAGGAGAAACTACAGTGGATTGGTGAAATGCTCCAGTTCCAGTGTGTAACATTTGGGAGGATCTATTGGCAGAAATGCAATATAATTTGCAGAAATCTATATTTTTGTTTGTATATAATCACCTAAAAATATGAATCATTACGTTTTTGTTACTCAGAAATGAGCCTTTTATATCTGCAGACGTCGCTGGGCATCATGTTTCTACAGTAGCCCAGAATGGATTAACCAAACACGCTCTAGAGAAGGCTGTTTGCATTTTTCGCGAGCCACTGTACTTTCTGTATCTACACGACTATATATCACAAGATACTACACACTGGACCTCTTTTAAAATGTCCCTTTTAAGCGTTGGTTACATGAAAAGTAAATGCAAGATGATTAATCAAGTTTAATTGTTTTTGTGGATCAGTTCCAAGATACATTGTATTGATTTGGTTTGTTTTTTATGTTTAACTGTTGATAGGACAAGCAGGTGAATGAGCTCGCGCAGGAGCTGGCCGTCCATCTGGGACTAAAAAATCGTAAACCTTATGTCAGCGCAAAGGTTAGTAAAAGTATTATTAAGGATTTTCTCCGTCTTCAGATCTGTCATGGCGGTCTATCTATATATGGATAAAATCTTATATCACAGTGTAAGTAATTTTATAATGCGATATCAACATATACATCATAAATTTGTATATTTATAGGGAAATACATTTGGATAATAAATTAATATTTTTTGTTATTCTGTAAATACCTATATAAATGCACATTTGACCTTATTTGGTCCTGAGTTTGTTACTCTCATATCCAGTCTGTTACTTTGTATTTTCCAGGAAGGAGCGCTTATCGCAAGAGATGCCACAAATGGAAAAATGACTACTGAAGGCATCAAGGCAAATTTAGGAAATGGTATGAATCCTCTGAGTGGCCTTGCACCAGGTGTGTATTTTTGACTTTGAATTGATCAGAATCGTACTGCATTAACAATACAGGCAGCGTGTGTGTTTTCATGATTAAATTCTTTAAAAAACAATCAAAAGTATATATAAATCCCCTCCTGCCTCCCTTCAGTCAGCTTTCCGAGCATGCCACAGTCCTGCATACCCTCCACAAGTCCTGTCTCCTCCACAGTACCCGACATAGCAGACACTTTGGAGGACTGTGAGCTGATGGGCGAGGACATAGACATCCTGCTTGACTGCTTCCCTAATGAGCAGGGGCTGACTCAGGTAAAGTCTGTGTTTGTGCTCCGTTTCTCCTTGCAGACCAGTAAAATATAATGAAATTAAGGTGTTCTTGCTTGTTGAAGATTACTAAGATGGAAGATCTGGAAGAGCATGTAATAATACACTGATATTATAACAGCATGAAGTTTGAAAATGAAACCTAGACATCATGAAACAGTGCATTAGTTTCCAGAAGGAAAAGAGGCCAGACTCTTAAAAGAAGAACAAGGTTGTAAAATGTCCTTTAAAGCTGTTTTCATTGATTTTTCTTTTTGCCACTAAGCTGTCTTAACAATATTAGTACAGTGGATGGAAACAAGCATTTATTCACATTTTCTTTTGCCAATTTACTTGTAATTTCGGTTAAAATGTGCAATACATTTGTATGGAAACATGGCGTGACATTGTTTGTCTGCCTTTTAGTGCTGCTCAGGTAGTGTACAGTGTGTTTATTAGAGCTTTCCCAATAGAAACAGTACTGATATAAGTTTGTGGGCCATTAAAAACCAAAAGAATAAGCTAAGAAAATCCAAAAACCTCTGCAGAGCTTTTTCCAGCTATTGTCAGCCAACATTGGTGGCTGTGGCTCAGGAGGTAAAGCAGGTTGCTGCATGTCAAAGTGTCCTTAAGCAAGATACTCTCGATCAGTGTATGAATGTGTGGGAATAGGTGACTGTGTCATGTAGTGTAAAGAGCCTTGAGTGGTTCGAAGACTAGAAAGACGCTATGTAAGTGCAGTGTGTAAGTGTAGTTATTTACATTCTGTCGCATTTCTTCTCTCAAGTTTCTTTCTCCATGTTTTCCAGACCCAAATCCAGGCAGCCTTTTCAGTCCCCAGCAAGAAATCCACTTGCACACGCACAGTTCCTTCTGTCCTGCCCGCCCCAACACCCCAGCTACCCCCGGCCTTCTTCAGCTCGACCGTCAGCCAACTCAACTCCCTGGACTCCTTTTCAGGTGGTGGGCACAGCACCACGACTGTGACACTGGATGCCCTAGATGACCTCTCGACCTCTGGAATTGGAGGTGGTGCCCCAAACTTAGCACGGACCTCTGTTGCCTTGGATGCTCAGGATGGCCTTGATTCCTTGGATGACTTCTTGGATACGAATCCAAGTGACGCTGCTACTGAGAACGAGTCCAAAACAGAACTGGACACAGGGGAGAAGTCCCTTGGTATGACATCTGTGAACCAGCTTGACTCCCTTGATGCACTGGACCGGTTTCCCTCTGTGAAAGATGCAGCTGCTTTGCCACCAATCTCCTTTGGGGCAGCAGGCCTGGACTTGCGTCCTGATTTCAGCTTAACTGGTAATTATGATGCATTGGTGACTTATTATATTATTGGCAAAGCAGGAGGCTTGTCCTTTTTAAAACAATATAACGGTTAGTAGATGCTGAAATGAGCAAGATGGCTTTGACCCACAGCAGTGGTTCTCAGCCTATTTTGCTTTGTGGCCTCTCTAAATGAAGCAATGTCTGTTTTGTTTTTTTGTTCTCACATTGTTTCATGTAAAAGACTTTAATTACTTTAGAAATATATCTTGTATTTCTTGGGTTAGTGCCCCAAAGAAGTGGAAATATGTAGTATTTAAAGTATTTACAAGAAAAAAACATTTTCACAAAACATGTTGTCAAAGTTGAGGAGGGCAGAAAACACTTTGCTTACATGTCATGGCTCATATACAAAGCTAGTTAAATTTATGCTTACAAAATAAATGTATGATACAGGTACAAATGAGAATACACAAAATACAGCAAAACGAGCAACCAATTTTCTTTTCTTTTTAAAAAAAAAAAAAGACCATACTAGTGTTTGTACATGTTTTATCCCATTTACTACAATGTGTGTACACACCATACTTATTTTCTTTCATTGCTCCTCAGGTAACACATGCTCTCACAGTACTGCAGCTCCAGTAACGTGGTCTCCAAAGAATAACAACAAAGTAAGACTGGTTATCTGGCTTGTGTTACCTGCTCTATTTTTTGTTTTGTTATTGTTAACTGAAATATTTTTCCTACTGTTGCAACAAAGGAGAAGACTAACCAAGCACAGGTTGCGTTCTCTAATCCCCTGTCCTCCACCCATGAGTTCCTGCAGGCCTGCTCCGCCTGTTTCCCTCGGACAGGTAGGTTAACAGTCCAGCCCTGTCTCAACCTAACTGTAGTGGAGCAAGTAATCATAATGATCGTGCTGCTGGTGATTATCTTACTGTCCAGACAGGATCATAACCTTCAATATTCCCTGTTTTGAGCATTTGAGAACTTTTATCTGAGTCCTGAAGCCCTTCTTTTAAAGTTGCAGAAAGGACAGGACGCCAAGCAAAAATGCAAAAATCTGTTCAGGATACCTCAGTGGAGATAAGAAAACATGTATTACATGGTGCAAATGCCCATTTTGTTGACCACACCATTGACAGTAGCAGCTCAATTGGCAAAAGTTCAATAATATGGAGTCTTATTGAGAAATGAGCCTACTTCTCACTTGATTTATTAGTTTAGTAAACAGTTTATGGTCTCAATTGCTAGTTTCAAGCCTTCTTCCATAAAGCATGATGTTCATTTAGTAAATTATGGTCCCATTTAGAGTAAAATAGATGATTAAAGCTGGATATCCTTTAGGGCGTTGCTACCTTCTGATTGGCAAGTCACTCTCAGTAAATCTGTCCAGCACAGTGCACGAAGCTCAGATCAAACAGTCAAGCTTAAACTTCGTTCAGAAACATACTTAAATGTACTGTTTATCTGTAATACGAGAATGTGTGTTACAGTACGTCACCGCCTCTGGCTCCGTCATGGTGACAGCCATAATGCCGAACTTGAGGCTTCAAAACCATTCTTCACAAACCAATGGGTGATATCACGATGGGTTCACACTTGATCTTCACAAATGTGCGCATTAAAAAACAGAACATCCAGTCCCGCCTTTTTATTCTATTGAATATATTAAACTGTTTTGTTTTCAGGTCAAGGGATATATTCTTTTGTACACAAGCCAGATCTGGTCCACAGCTGCAAGCGAGACATTCTGCTATGTAGACGAAAGACAGGTCATCCTTCTGAGTGGACCAGAGTGCGGAAGCTTCCATCCTGGACTTCCTTCACTGGGCCGTTTGTACTCTGCAAGGGTAAGGATCTCCAAATGAAATGAATGATTTATATCAGGATCTCCTCTGTTGGTTTTCATTGTTCATTGCTCTTTATTGTAGTTAAACTGATTTGCGTAGTGCACGTATCATGACATCATAGCGTGCTTGGTGTGTGCCTCTGGGCGGTTGAAAAAATATATACATAATGACAGGACGTTTGTATAAAACACTAATATCGGTTGTCAGATCGAAACAATAAGACTGAACTTGATAACAACAGTCAACAGTGATGGACAACATTTCAATATATTAGACATAGCTGCGTATATATACAGTATTATACATATATAAAGAATAAATACAAAACTGGAAAGGGTTAATGAAATGCCGAAATAGTTTGCCTGCTTACCTGGTAAAGTCCATGTAGGATAAAAACAGGTGTAGTTTTCACTAAAAGACATGAAGCACATTTGACATGGCAGATCCAGTCACTTAGAGCTAGGCAAATAAAAACAAAAGAGCAGATGTGAGAGACTCTTTTGAATCAGCGTTGTCTTCCTTTTAACCATGTGACAATTGTGTTAGGGAAGGCACTTTTGATTTACTATCATCACAAATTCTTCATATGACTTGGGAGTCTCGGGTAAGTGACATGTGACACAAGTTTTTTGTTTTTTTTCTCACATCAGAGGTGCTGAAGTCCAAAGATTTGGGCCTGTGTAAGTACGGCGAGAACTGCACGTTTGCCTACAACCAGCTGGAGATTGACGTTTGGACAGAAGAGAAGAAGGGGAAGCTGGACAGAAACCTGCTATTTGAAACAGAAGCTGACAAACTGGACCCTGTAAACAGCATCATACGTCTTCTACAGGAACACAAGGGCGTGTTTATTTTCCTCTGTCAGGTTAGTGGGCTTGTACAGTGTATATAATAATTATTATTTCACAAACATGGGTTCAAATCTGTGGGTCATGTCTGTTTTAATTTTTTTTAAATATTATGTACATTTATTAATTATGGATTTGTCAAATTACTATAGTGCTGTATCCTATAATACTTTAAATTGTGTTATCTATCATTTATTTATGTACTCAGGTTTCTCTTAAATTATGGATGGCTAAAGATATTCTAAAATAGATAAATAGAATAAATTAATAGAAATACTGAATACTGAAAATAATACAGAAATACACTACAGTTACAACAATCCAACTGTGACTGGAAATGCTGCACATTAAAAAAGATTACAGTAACCTCAATGTAAAGCATTGCTTTACAGTAGATAGGTTAGGACTGACCTCCTTAACATACAGAGGCAAAAAAAAAAGTCAGAGTAGAAATACAGACTTAAGTATATTTAGATGTATAGAAATAACATTATTATTGATTTAATTATTTTTGTTTATAGATGTCCCAAATTGTTTATAATTTATTAATTATTTTATTTATTTATTTGGATACCAATATGTTTTTTCTTCTATATGTAACTGTCACTGAGCACAAACTCCAGTCCCAATTGTACTGTATATTGAGTTGCCGGTGTTGTTTTATCCTTGAGGCGTGCATGTTAACACTAATCCTCATATGCCTGTCTGTCTTTTGAACATTTACACTGCATTTGTTTTGTGTCATAATAGTTATTCATTGGTATTAATTTGTTAAGACAATCATTCTAATCTCCAAACACATCTGTCTTTCTTCCTTTCGTCTTTTTTTGGTTTGTTCTTTTTGTTTTTGTCTTTCTGTCTCTGTAGGAATGCTATGACAGTAAACCTAGACTCATCAGTAAGCGCTCCAAAGACAACCATACCATCTGCTCTAACTTGGATGCTCGCCACACATTCGAAGCCAATAAGTGAGCGCGTTTACAACATACATGTAAACCTGATCTTACCCTTGCTCATTTCACTCTAACTCTTTAACTCTCATTGTCTTTCTGTCTCTCTCTTAAATACTTTGATTTCTGCCACTGTGCCCATCAGGTGCTTAGCATTCGTGGTGAGGACCCACAGTGTAAACTACAGTAAGGTCCGTCCGCTGGGTGTCCTGTGCCACTTGGATTTGTGCCGCCAAGCCATCCGGTACGGCTGCCTGAGAGAGGACAGCTGCCATTTCGCCCACTCCCCCCTAGAGCTCAAAACCTGGAGAGTGCAGCGAGACACAGGTGCAGTCTGTTAGACACATGCAGTAGAAATAATACAACTAAGAGCATTTTAATTGTATTTGTTCACTTGGGGAGAAAAATTAAAACACTGAAGAGGTGTAAGCTACAGATGATGGTGTTTTGGTTCCCTCTCACTGCTCCCCAAACAGCAGAGAGACAATTAGCAACTAGCTGATAGACATTTTGGAGCATTTAGTAGCTCAAGAGCAAGATATTTCCCTTAGGATGGAGACCAAAGCAGAACTAAAAGGAGAGTGAATGTTGGTGGACAGAAACATGATTCTTACGGCAGCTTACAAGGCTGATAAAGCCTTGTCAGTGTGGTCAATGCTAACACTTTTCTCCCATCCTAAATGACTGCTGTTACTGACAGTGGCTAGGTTACATATATATTAAGTTGAATGACAGCTCTTCTGACATTTTGAACCAATGTATTTTTCCATCATAGAAATTCCATCTAAAACAACATGTTAATGGCTGAATAACGATGTCTCTTAAATTGTATGTGCATATAATATTGGAATTATATTATTATTATTGACATCGGCATTATATATTGGCCATCGGTTGCCCTGCTCTCTAAATATCGGCAATGAAAAATCCATTGGTCGACCACTGAAATCTATTAATGCTATTAATACTGCAGTAGGGTATTTTTATGTTGATCAGAGTTATTAAATCCAAAAAGATAATAAATTCAGAGTATTCTGAGTAGAAACCAGAATAAACGTGTGTGTGTGTGTGTGTGTGTGTGTGTGTGTGTGTGTGTGTGTGTGTGTGTGTGTGTGTGTTCACAGGTATTAGCCCCGAAGAGATTGTGAAAGTATCCACAAACTATTATGAGAAGCAGGAGCTGAACTCAAGCAAGCAGAAAGGCAATAGAGTAAGATTCTTATTTATTTATTTATTGAAAAAACACAATGTTTCTTCGGTATATAGACCAACCTGTCACAGCTTTTTGTTGGTCAAATGTTCTTATTTTTCTAAATGTATTGAATCCACATGTTGAAGCAGTGACACCACCTTAGCACTGGACTTTTTAATGTCTTTAATTTAAGTTTTCACATTGTGTAATGTACAGAGCTTTTGATTTAAGGACATACTTATCATAAATATTAATTATATGTACATGTGCAATTTCATAATTAGTTTAATTATTGACTAACTTCGGTTATTCGATATAGAGATTACTGTATAGTTGATTTTGGCAGATGAAAGATGAAGAAGAAGTGTTGTGAAATTGCTATCACTCTTATCTTTGTTGTCATATCATTTTAAGCAGCTGTCTTCTGGAGGTGGTGGGAGCAAACCAAGAGGGGGAGGATCTGGAGGAGGAGCCGGGAAGAGTCCGAACATGAAGATGAAGTTTGTCTGCGCTCAGTGCTGGTGGGGCGGCCTGATCAGTGAACCAGACAAAGCCCTCAAGTACTGCACTGCCAAGGCCAGGCATGCGTGAGTACAAAATAATATATTTGCATAGTTCCTATACAACTCTGGAAAATGGGATATTGTATTTAATAGGGCAAGATGTCTAATATCAACAACACTCATGCATGGTGTTGTTTAGAGACCAAGAGGTAAAAAGAGAGAAATACACCGAAGTTGATGGTGATTGATGATTGATGATCTGGTCTTTAGCACAGAGACAGTAAGAGGTCTCACTCTGCCACTATTTCCCAGTACCATAAACCTCCACACAGTCATCCCCTTCTTCTTTGTATTAGACTATACTATTTGTTATTATTATTATTCCTTTTGATAGCTGTTAATAGTTTTTATATAGTCCAATACTGTGCAGATATAGAGTCTAGTTATCTGTCTGGGCACTGTCTCATTTTAGACTTCTGTCTTCCTCTTGTGTCACAATCTTCAGGTGGACTAAAGACAGATGGTTACTGCTGGTCAGGTCCTCGGAGAAAAGTAAATGGGTTCAGGTCCGACCGCTGCCACATGCCAAGAACTTCCCCATGCAGTATGATGTAGGTGTGCTTCTCCTGCGTTCATGCACTTTAATACAACAAGTAGTTTCAGTGGTTCACTTCCACAGGTTGGGCTTTCCAAATGAAATTATTTTGCACATTGGTGCTAATTATGGTATCTCTTGAAAGTTTGTACTGCACGTTGTGATCTGTGTTTAACAGTGTTACATTTTATCCTGGCAGATATGTACCCAGATTTTGTCGAAAAGGAAATGTAACTACACTGGGAAATGCACCTTTGCTCATAGCCAAGAGGAGAAGGAGATGTGGATGTATATGAAGAATAATGACTGTGAGTAGTTAAAATAGTACTTTTAAAAGAGTACTGCACTGATTTAGCATTGCACTCCTATAATGTTGTCAGATTCATGATGGACAGTTTAAAAAAAAAAAGATAAAAACTGATGCAACAGAATTAGAGATATGTAATAATACTCCCCATCACTTTTAAACACACTAGAGTTCCCCTTTAAATCAATGCAATACTGGTTCCAGAAAATAAAGGGTCAAATAATCGTTTGGTCTATAAAATGTCTGTATTTGTGTCCATAGTGCGGGACATGCAGCAGATGTATGACATTTGGCTGAAATCAACTACCCACAACCGCCAAGCAGATGGAGCCGTGCTCACCCAACCTGTCCCAGAAGAGAAAGACATCGTCATGCCAACTGACTTTGCTGAACCGATGGTAAGTTCATTAAAGTCAAAGACCAAAAACAGTTCCACTGGCACAAAGTAAAACTTACACATGTTGTGTTACCTGACTGTGTATCTGTAAGAAGAAGCTGATGATTTGTTATTTTTGTTTTTTAGAGTGGCTACCACTGCCGCCTATGTGGTAAACACAGTAACGGTGAGCGACAGTGGCAACAGCACATCTCCTCTGAGAAGCACAAGGACCGAGTGTTCAGCTGTGAGGGAGAGGACGAAGCTCTGACGTGGAGCTACCGTTTCCCTGGCGAACGCTTTGAACTCTGCTCCAAGTGAGACCCTTTCCTGGATTTCATGTTTCTGGATTCAGTCAGTGTAAAAAAAAAAACAACTCTGTTCAGCATTGGAGTGTTGTTCATTTGAATCACACGACCAGTTTGGGGAGACATGGCCACAAAACAAAAAAACAAATGGCGTATCTTAACACCCCCTAAAAATCAAATTTCTGCTGACCACCTTGCAGCAGCGAGGTACTCCTGGGTGTGTAAGTGCACTGTGACATCATTGTTGGGTGTAGTTACAGGTGCAACCGAGCAGCAACTTTGTAGCCGTCAGTATTTAGCACATCTGTATAGACTTTTTTCATAGCAGCCAACTTGTCTAATTAAGGTTCAGTTCCATTTAGGTCAAACAGAGTCAGGGTGCTGCTATTGTGCGTGGCTTACTGGAAAGACTCTACTACACTAAATGGAACAGAGCCTTAATTGGTATCATCGGTAACACCTATGTTTAACCTACTATTTCATGTCAAAATGTGAAAAACATTATTACTCCAGGGAGAACTAAATTATTTGATTGAGAATTAACAACACAAAGATATTTACAGTGAGCACTTGTTGTTATGTGAAAATATAAAAACTGATTAAACATATTGTGTTGTTAATGTTCGACAGGTGGGAGGGCGGCTGTCCTGAAGGTGTGAGCTGTGACTATGCACACAGCCCAGAGGAGCTGCAGGAGTGGATTGAGAGACGGGATTTCCTGCGACACAAGCTGGCCAAAGCCAGGGAGGACATGCTCATCATGCCTGATGAGTTTGACTTTGGGAAATACAACTTTCTACTTTAGGACTGAGTAGATTTTCTTTTTTTTTCTTTTTATTTGCGAGCCATTTTGGAACTGCCAAACTAGCATTTCAAAACCAAAATCAGCAGGTGATGTGATTAAACTATCAGTGAGTAGAAATTTACCAGTAGATCACTTGAAATATGAAGCATGTGTATTTCTCACACATGCCATATACTCTTTTAGTTACTCTAATTTGGTATGTGGGACATCTTCAGAGCTACTTGTATTGCCTGTTCAGCTAAAACATCATTAAAAAAGTACTTAGTCCTGTGAAACTAAAGCCCATGTTGGTGCCACCCAAAAAACACAGCAGATACAAACCCTCTTCATCACAAAATATTCATAATGGGTTCATATTTAACCATAAATGCAGCTTTTTGTGTCCGCTGACCCATGTGACATTCACACAAAGTTTGGGTTGTTTTCTCTTTTTTTTTTTCTTCTTTATGTCTGATGTCCAAAGACTCAACTGTGCATTAAAGTACTCCTCACCAAACGATTTCTAAATGTCTCAACTTTTAACACAAATAAAAATGCACATGTTCAGTTCTGATATGTCCTTAAGCAAAGACACGTGCTTTTGATGGTTTGAATTGACTTTGTGTATTTTTATTTGGAGCATATGTGTCTAATTCTGGCTCATATTATTTTCATCATCAGAGAAGGGTGTTGACATATTGGCCAAGTATTATTATAAGACTAATAGTTTTGTTCATTGTTTAACTAAATGAGAAGTAAACCTGGGAACTTCTAAAAAGTATACACAGGTAAATGAAAACTCAGCCGTTTATCAGGTAATGTACTTGCTGTTCATGTTAATGGTAAGAATGTGTTTCTACATTTGTGAATGGAAGTGTGTAATGTGCCAAATGCTGTGTTTGGAAAAAGAAAAAGCTCAATAAAAATAGGTTAAAAACAATAAAGAAAACTCTTAAACAACAATGACAATAATAAATTCCCAGTGTTAAGAGATATTATAGAAGAATACTAATAAAAAGCTTGGGGTATTTGGGTTTGACATCAATCTCAGAAACCTGAGCAGCATTTGGTAAACTGGTTGAATGTAAATTACTAAAGTACTGTACTTGGGGACAGATAGGTATTACTTCCTATTTAACATACATAAAAAACATGAGTTCATGATTCATTATTATGGAACTAAAAGTACCCCAACAGTATAGAGTAGTTCAAAGGGCTCATCCTACTACCAACTTCAACATAAAACAGTGATAATCTAATAAAATATATAATAATTTAACTCACAGGAGCCAATGTTTGTTCTTTCTTTCTTTTACTTAATGAGTTAATATTTTGAATGCAGGACTTTGACTTCTAATGTACAGTGTGCTATTGCTACCACTGCTCCTTCCACCGCTGTAAGTAAACACAGTTTCATTGCACCTGTTTAGGCACTACTCCAACACGTCACTAGATGGTGCGGAGCGCGCGGGTGGACCTGGTCTCGAGCCTCCTTTTGGCTCGCACGTGTAGCCGTGCGTGGGGAGAAATGTGCTCGGCTGAACAGGGTTGTTGTTGTGGATATCATGCATTAGAGCCCGCCCCCCCCACCTGCTTTCTCATTGGCTCTGCGGTGTGACCGACAGGCGAGTGCTCTTCTGTCATCGATTCCCCCGGCTCCAGGGGGCGTGGCCTCACCTGCTCATTATAATACAAGTTGTTAGGACACATGCAAGCGTCCCCGTGACGTGACCTGCTGCAAAGTTTTTAGAAAGTGAGTGAAGTCGGGAGCTGAGAGCACACTCACTCACAGGTTCTCTTCTCGGTTGGACTCGTTTCTGATCATCATGTCAACAGCTAACCAGATCTTCTTTGGGGACAGGAGCGACGTTCCTGATCTCCTCAAGTCCCTGGCGGACTATCCCTTCTCCTTCCCTGCCTTTGATGACACAGGTAAAAAAAAATGTTCTTTCTTTATTTAGTAGTTTTTTAGTAGACAAGTTTCAAGAACAAGCTTGAAACTTGTCAAAGTGTTGCTCTTATTATTTCATACCGCTTTAGGGTCAAGAGCAATGTTAAGGTACTTATACCTTTTAATATTTTATACTGCTTTACCTATATTCGGCTACATTTGGAAAAAGTGTGCTATTTATTCTACTAAGCCTACATTTATGTGACTAATATGTAGAAGTGTTCATTATTATAGAATAAACTACCCAACCATACCCAGTATGTAAACATCACCAGTAATAATAATCCAATCATATAATATAGCCCTTTGGTAGTGGCCATCCTGCTGCCTAATGAGTAGCTACTTTTACTTTTGATGCTCTGTCAAAACTTCTGAAGTGAAATTAGGAATGCAGGACTTTTATTTTTACATCAAGGTATTGCTTCTTTTTATTAAAAAAGACTTCTTCCACATTTGGTGCAAAATTATTATTAGTAGAAGAGAACTTTAATCCTGATACATGGGAAATTTTAAAACCTCTGTTGAAGAAAAATCATTCAAGTCCAATTCAGGTTTGCTGTTGTGGTGTGTTTAATAAAGCATGCCGGCATCCTGGTGAACTTACTTACACAGCACAGGTCTGAGTCGGTAAGTGGACCCAGAGCAAATGAAACAAGGTACTTTTATACATGGGATACAATAGACAGTATGTAAATGGTATTCATTGATCAGGCAGTCACCAGATGTTACATGATTAACATCGGAGTCAGAGGGAAGTAAGACAAAAGGTAGTGGACAGACCAAATGTGATTAACAGTGGAAGGTCGGGTGGGTGTGGGGTTTGATCAAGAGGACAGGAGGAAGTATGGGGGGGGTGGTGGCTGCCTCAGAAGACAGTATGAATATACATTTGAGTGTGAAAAGGACATGACCAGTAGGGGGTTGTCGTTTCTTCCTCACCTCACAACCCTCATTACAGTGGGATTAAATGTAGTCTGCTCTCTCATACATCACACTCCTGCTGCAATCGGGAACTCATCTTGGCATTGATTACTACTGTAGTAAAGCTGATCATGAAGTTATCCCTGCTGCAAAGTCCAGGCCTATATGGAAATGTGTCGTGCTACTTTGATCTCTCAAAATGTGCACAACTGATCAAAGGCAGTAAGATTACATTGTGTCAGCAAACTGTTTGAGCTGTTCCTCCGTGCAGTCACAACACAGCAAGCCTGCAACTGATGCAACAACACTGAAACACTCCTCACTCAATGTTTCATCACATCATTAGTTTCTTTGTGCACATGGTTCTTTATGTATACTTTCTTGCTTAGTGTTTTTTTTAACCGTCTTTATTCGATAGTTGACAGCAGAGACAGGCAGGAAGTGCGTGGAGAGAGTGAGGGGAGGTGACATGCAACAGAGGCCCGCAGGTGTAATTGAACCAGTTATGTTGGTATCACATGTTATGGTAACTCAGACCACTAGGCAGCAGCCCTTCTCTTTCTTACTTCAAGTGTTGTTTTGCTTTTTTTCCTCACCTGCACATGTCAGAACTGCTCTCCTCCAGATGGTGAGGACAGTGCTGAGAGTACATTATGCAGTATGTGCAGTTTACTGGTCAGACTTCCACATCCAAGTGAAACTGAACCTTTGCAACATTGCAGGAATAAGTTTTACTTTGCTATTATGCTCTTTTACTATGCTGCTATCATTATTATTACTCGGTCTGCCTATAGACGAGAAATGTCTTCAGACAGCCTTGTCAGTGCGACTGCTGTGGTAAGCTGTTAGTGCTTTGTGAGTTTTGGAAAGATGGGGAAAAAGTTGGTGTCAAGCCCTGTACTATAACTCTAATGCATCCTGCTGTAAACATCGGCATGAATATCCTATAGAACAGAATAAAAATTTTAATTTCAGTCATCTGCAGCCTTGTTCTCTAAATATTGTCATCGGCATCAGCCAGTGAAAAACCCATGTTGGTCAACCACTAATTCCCTGTTGTTGAATAAAATTTGCCTGTAAACTGCTGGTATGCAAATTAGGAATTTGGACATGGCTGTATAATCTCTTGAAGGGTCCATCAGTGGGGTGGATGTTTGGAGGGTTTGGGTAAGCCGAGGGACAGTGGGGTCACACATCCTGGTAGACAATGGTGGGATTCACATTCCGCATTGTAAGAAGGATCTTGTTTGTGGTACGAAGTTGTTCACATATTTGTGTCATTGGACCACATGCAAACTAAATATCATCTTGTAATTTAAAATATACACAAGTGGCATTATTCATTTAATGTCATAATCTTGGACTCCCAACACTGAGGCATTTGCTGATCATGCTGACACATCAAGAATATAAGCCATGTGCATGATGTGCATAAGTCTTTACAGTAAATCTCATAATATAACACTGTAGAGCTGAATGAAATGTACTTGCATGTCTCGAGGAGGACAGAATGCACACGACAGCATAGTTTTAAAATAAATATCTGATTGGCTTAACTTGATTGGATATGAAATCATCATTCAAATTCTTATAAAAACGTGGCGTCATGGCTGTTGACCTCATCAATATCACTTAAGGTATAAGATTTTGAAAAGAAAATAACTGCAACATATGAAGCTTGTGTCACTATGATGTTATAATTCAGCATTTTACGCCCTCTGCAGCAGCAAGAAGATACTCATTAATTCTCCCTGATGACTGATGGTAGGCTGTCACATGCCCCATCCAGTGATGAAATTCATTCTTCTAAATTATACTTGCCTTTGTTTCATGGGTTCATTATCATTGATTTAGACACACTATTGTTCACATCTGCATTGACAGTTTCACTGTCTTGTTTGTTGCGCCTGTTAATAATGTGACATGACGCTGATGGATCACCCTACTGTTTGCCCTTTCCTTTAGTTGCGATCAATAATAATAATGATTACTTATTCTCTTTGTGATGCCCTGATATTTCTTTCTGACCTTTTCTTTGTGCATTTCATGTCTTTAAGCAGCATGAACATGCTACAACATGCTAGGATGCAAAAAAAACCTTAATAATCTCTGTTTGTTCATTATAATGATTGATTTTAACATTAAATAAGAGTTTGCCAAGCATACAGCATTTTCTCATCACACTACACACTCACACTGTGATGTATAAAACCTGTAAAACAGCAGACGTCTCCCCTGCTGCAGAGAGGAAAAACACAATAAGAGGATTTTCTGTTAAAACTCTGCCTTTCTGCTTAGAACCATGATGCAGTTTGCATACAAAAGCCTCCTGTTCTCATTTGTCCTGAAACAACTGGACCACAAGGCCACCTCCTGTCTGAGCTGCTTCATGGCAGTAAATACAATGTTTTCATCAATATGAGATTCTTCAAAGATAGGGCCACACAGCAGGATTTTTAGTAAGTAACAAGGAATGACAACTTTGTGAACTGTGAACTGTTTGCACAAGTACAGGTGAGGCACCATCCGTTATTTAAGAAAAGGTTGTGGTTATTGTGTCAGGCACAGAGTCAGACTGACCCAGTTACCCCTGCCACTATTAATCAACCTGACAAAGAGGGAGTCTCAGGCCATGTACCAGTCCTATGCTACAGAGAGTCTGTAGTATGTTTATACAAGAAAAATGACAAAATAAACTCCTACAACAGATGGTGACGCGACCCCTGGCAGTAGATCTTAGGTGCTCTCGCTCTTCATTAAGTTAAATTGGCAGCTGACATCTGTGTGTGAATACATTGCATCGTTTACTGTTGGTTCAAAGAAGTAAAGTGAATTGATTTCTCGCATACTAACTGGAAACTACTATAGTGTAGTGCATGCTGCTATAGTATGGAATAGAGACTTAGCTGTAGTCTACAGTCTGTCAAGGTGCCAACTTATGTAGCTTGAGTGATTACCCAGTTAACACTTTACAGAACAGATGTTTAATTAAACTGGATTTCACTATAAACACTTTTAAAGTAAAGATTATTATAAATGTTTCAGAGAAATGAAATACAGTGCAGCACTCACAAAGCAGTTTGACTAGTTCATAGCTGGATTTTCCTCCTTATCAGTGTCAGTATCATCAACCAATAACCCTAGAGTTCTTAGGTAGTCACAACATTTAGACAATAATACATTAGCAGAAACCACAATTGACCAGTTAAATGGATAAACGTTGTGGGGCAGTAGACACGAGGCACTTTGTTTACCATGTGGTTACTGTGGTTACTGTGGTGAACTCCAGGGGGAAAACGCAGATTAGTGTTGAAGGTGGGGTGTTGTGCAGTTTGAACATCGTGTTCCTGAACCCAAACATCCTGCTGAGGACTGCGCGCTCACTGTCTCTTGCAATATAGCAGCGCGTGCACGGAAACGTGAGATTTCCCCTTTTGTTGTGGCACCGCGAGCGTTTGATGTTGAATGTGTAAATAGGACGGATAATGTAAGTTAGGCCTAATCAATAAATGATACTATAGAAACAGTCTGAATGAATGGTGACTTTAATAGTTGAACTGTAACACAATAATTATAACTACTCATTATAAAGACCCTGTGTAACATTAACCAGAGCTGTCTCGTGAACAACGTGTACTCTGTTTGGGTCTCGTGCCAGCTGTTCTAACCGTGAGCGCGTGCCCGCTCCACTCGCCTTGGCCCGCACGTGCGAATTGTCTGAAGCCACGCCCCTCGACAGATTGTGCTTTCACGTGAGGTGGAGGCGGTGGGGGTGCACGTGTTTGGCCACGAGTTATCGTCCCGTGCAGAATTAGGACGCGAGCGACTGAAAGTCCTTGCACGAGCACAGTGCGCGCGGTGTTTTGGGGATGGCTCGACAGTTTAATATGCGCTCATAATGAGAGCGTGCAAATGAATGTGTGCTTCCCGCGAGCACTGACACTATCCACTTAAATAAATCGATATATTGGCTGCACGCGAGTGTATGTTCTCATTGTGGTTAACGTTCCGCTCGTGTAGCCTTTTTATTGATCATTGATTATTGATTATTGATCATTGAACAGTCGCAGAGCTAACAGAAGAGTCGCTCCGGGTACTCTGCGTTCACAGCCGCTGTACTATACGTTAATATGGACAGAGCAGACAGCCAATCAGCGGCTACTATTCCGAGAGTGGGCGGGGCATGCAGCTCATGAATATCCAATGAGCGCTCTCGGTGGGCGAGGAGAACAACGGGTCTGTGTAGTGTTGTTTTTGCGTCCAAACGCGTTGATATTGTCAAACAAAAAGGCCTGAGAGCAGCAGCGGTGGTGAAGAAATCAACGTAGAGCCGCGTTTCCGTTTTGTGTCTGTTGTTTCCCGGTGGAGGAGGCAGCTCTCGGTACCGTCAGGAACGTTTTCCCCCGGTCTACTCGGAGCTTGGAAAGGAAACAATGCCAGGCAAAGCCGCGGTGACAGTGGCTCTTCAGCCCAGCGGTAAGGGGGTCATTACGGCGGCTCCACAGAAGTCGTTCCCGTTCGCTTTGAAGAAGATCATGGATATTCCTCCTCCTAACATCCTGGAGGAAGGTGACGACGGTAAGATCACAATGCAAATACCGGCGCTCAGTTTTCCAGTTGGTTGGTGCCTTGTGCATTAACTACGAGTTTATCGACGGGTTGTTGTTGTTGTTGTTTTTCAAGCTGTATATGGTCAAACTGTATGTGCAAAGTCTGTGTCAGGGGCTTTTGTCGTTTTCGTTGGATTTAATAAACGATGGTCGTTAATGGGGCGAGATTAGGACGGACATGCCGTATGTCGCACAGAGCTAGTTTTCTTCCGAGGCTGCGAGGAAACAAAAAAGAACAAAAAGTTCCAACTCCTCTCTGCTGCTCTCCAAGCAGCGCACACACACTGGAGATACACTCACAGACAAAGACATTGGTTGGCTTTTCATTTAACATACTGGTCTAGTGTTATTTGGTCCCTAGTTTTTGTGGTGGTGTTTTATGTTTTGTGGTGCATGGAGAGGAACAAGCAGGTCTCTCTCCAGTGTTTCTGTGATTTTCCTCGTCCTCCTGTCTGGTTTCCCTGGAGCCTCAATCTGCATTTTATTTAATCTAGAGATCTACTTTCTCACTTTAAAGATCATTGACATATTCGGTCACCACCACACCCCCTTTCTTCCCACTGTGACTCTTTCCATCCATTACTTGACTTTTCCTGTTTGTGTCTCAAACTCTCTGAAAGTCATGTGTGCAAAAGAAAAGCCATTTACTGAACTGCTGTTTCCTCCTGTCTTTTAATGCAGAAATAGAGAAAGAGAAGCTGTGCTCATCTGAGGATGTGGAGGGAGGCGGGGCTGGGGCAGCCAGTGCTGGTGGAGGTTCTAGAGGAGGTGGCGGAGGCGGCGGTGGAGGGGTATCAGCCTCCTTGACACCAGCCATTTGGGAGAAGACCATCCCCTATGATGGGGAGACGTTCCACTTGGAGTACATGGACCTGGATGAGTTCCTCCTGGAGAATGGTATTCCTGTCACCTTGGAGGAGGAGGAGCTGCAGAAGACTCTCTCCTCCGTGGTAGGCAAAGGCAAATCCATCCCCAAGGTTACTGCTACAGCTACTACTACGCCTGCTGCTGCTGCTGCTGCTGCTGCAGCCTCCGTCTCCACCACAGCATCTTCCCCCTCCATCTCTGCCAGCTCTCTGGTTGCTTCAGATCCAGAAGAAACGGTGACAGTCACTACATTACTACCAGCTAAACTAGAAGAAGAAGAGGAGGAAGGAGGAGGAGGAGGAAGAAGAAGAGGAAGGACAAGAAGAGGAGTCTTTGTCTGAGGAGGCGACAACAGAAGTGGAAGTGAAAGAGAAGAAAACAGGTGAGAATTAATAAGATGTTGTTACATCTCAGATCATTTATACTGTTTTTTAATTCCCCATTACTGTTTTATAAAATATATTCCTGCTAGCTGAGCATCTTAAATTCTGTGTCTAGAAGAAGAATACTAAACAATGAAATTTGCTGCTACAACCTGTTGTTCAGTATTATTTGCTCTAGCCACGTTCACACTGGTGTAACATTAACTAACATTGCAGCATGTAGACACACAGACAAAAGGCAGACCTTTGAGCCCATGCTATAGCTTTTATATGTTTGGGTAATGGCCAGTATGACGGTCCACTCCACATTATGCGGGAAACTCAAAGGAGGGAAAAAAATCAATGTGCAAGTACAAATATCAAATTCACAGCACTCAGAGGGAAAATCTACATCAAAATGTTTGCATATGTACACGAGAGCCTAACTGATATAGGATTCTTGAGAAAAATACCAATTTTTAGAGGGAGAAAATTCACTGATATGCAGCCGATATTTTTAAACCGTAACAAAATTTTTGTTTTTATTTGTGGATTGCAAATGTAGCCAGAAGGCTGCTTTCTTAAACAACCAACTTAAATAATACTTATGTTTAATATTCTTTTAATAAGTTAAATAATTAAACATACTATACATTGTCAACCAATTCTAATTCTATTCTAATCTAGGCATTACTGAGAGCTGCTTCTTCTCTTTTACTCTGTACTGCTCGCCACAGTATTGTAAATCACAGTCCACTCTGCTGGATAAACTTTGCAGTGACACTAATATATTAACACATTTGTCTGCATTACAAAAACACTTTTCATATATGCACATATCGGATTAAAAAAAACGATATATCAGTTGGGCTTTAATGTACGCACGGGGCACACAGAAGCCCAACACGTCGATAAATGTATCTGGAAAAAAAGGCATATAATACAGCCTCAAACATCAACACCTCCCTGACACAGTCTGAAACTGAACATTATGAGAGATGATGTATTTATTTGTAGTATACTTGACGAGTCAGCTGAACAGTATTAGTGATCAATAAGACTATAAGTTGTGTAAGTTATGAGTACCTAATGGTTAATTGGGAGGTTGAGAAGCCTATCTTGTATTCAAGATACTTTTTATCTCCATATTCATAGAACGTAACCCTGCAGAACGTAACACACCCTCCCCCATCGACCCAGAAGCCATTGAGGTGGACATCAATTTCCAGCCGGATCCCACAGACCTGGTCCTGTCCAGTGTGCCGGGGGGAGAGCTGTTCAACCCGCGCAAACACAAGTTCTCAGAGGAGGAGCTGAAACCGCAGCCTATGATCAAGAAGGCCAAGAAAGTGTTTGTTCCAGATGAGCAGAAGGTAGGTTGATTTAATCATATCAAGCTTTCCCCCAAAAACCCCCTTTTTAATAATTGAGATAAAAACTGTTAATACATATAAAATAAAACACACATGAACTTTTACACCACAAAAAGAAATGATTAAACCTGATTGCAGTTGGACTTTAAGGCCTCAGGTAAAGATGAAAGCATTTGCTTGTGGATTAGAGATCAAAGATAGGGAGGGATGTTTTCACAACACAGATGTTGTTTGTTTTTAAATCCCTTGCTAATGTCAGTTATGTTCAACTCTGCCTCTCCCTTTCTGGCTATTCCATTCATCTTCTCTCTTTCTCTCCCTCAGGACGATAGATACTGGTCCAGGAGAAAGAAGAACAATGTGGCAGCAAAGCGTTCTCGCGACGCACGGCGGCTGAAGGAGAATCAGATCACGGTGCGCGCCTCCTTCCTGGAACGGGAAAACGCGGCACTCCGGCAGCAAGTGGCCGAGCTGCGAAAGGACTGTGGTCGCTGCAAGAACATCCTGGTCCGATATGAGGCTAAGTATGGCCCACTGTAAAGAACTCAGAATTACAAAGTATCAATGAGACAAAAAGCAGAACTCCCTTCCCCGCAGAATTCAACACAGACACAAACACCAAGGGAATCTAAATTTGCACTGTTGTCTTTGCTGGCCTCCAGTCACTGTGTCAACCTCCCGAGTTTTGGATACACACTGGTAGGCAGCGAGGCATGATGGGAGCGGTGGTCACAGGAAGGCCTGTGGAGAGCGCCTGGCTCCTACACTCAGAGAGAGGAAGCGAACGATTGTGGATACTCCCATGGTCAAACACACATGGAAAATATGATCTGTCTCAACACAGTTTCAACAATGTCAGGAAATATGAAAAGAGCCGACTGGTATAGAAGAATCACAGGCTGTTAAATACTACACAAATTATAGTTTTATCACTGCACAGCACTTCTTCTTAGTGGACCAAAGCATGTGTGTAAGTTGTGTATTTGGACTGGCGCACACTTGCCGTCCCTCACATTTCCTTGTGTTGTACTTACATTAGTGTTTGTTATGTCTGTACTTCCTTTAAAATACTCCAGCTGTGGCTCAGAAGAACGATGTTGATTAACTCCAGGCAGGTCAGGAGAAATTAATAGGTGAATAAGGGAGCGGGAGACCGATTCACAGTGGTACAGTGGCTGAGGAGAAAGGAAGCAAAGATCTCAGGCTGGCAGAGGAGAAAAGGGTGAGAGTCCGTTTCTGATGTGATTCAGTCACAGTTCTTCCTTCTTATAATCCACATGCACGCCTCTGCGCACACAAACACTGTTTAAACTGTTTTGTATATATAGTCATAATCGCCCTGCACCACAGAGATAGGTGCGCCTATCAGTGTGTAATTCATTTATGCACTTTTTCTTAAAAAAAACAGTGTGTAGAGATTACAGTGGTGGCAGGTATCTACCTTATTTACCACAAACACCACGGGAGACACAGTAGCTTGTTCAGAAAAAAACCTTGCATGGCCCACTATTTAAAGCTACTCAGTTTCCTTTTCTACTAACCTCAGATCAGCTTCGAGAGCCTCACACAAGATTTTGTTAAAAGATGATGATTTTACAAACAGAGAGAGAGTAGTTGTTTTGGTTTTTTGTAGGTTACTATTGAAGGCATATGTCTGATGATCTCTAGGGCCCTCACTAGTGGAGGGGTATGATAACATGTAGGGATGTTTATTTTACTGCACACTGCAGGTAGAGGGCGCTAAAGCCACTGCCTGCCAGATCATGGTGTAGTGATGGCTGGATTGATTTTTTTGTTTTGTTTTTTTTCTTAAATGAAGGCAGGCCCAAAGTTGACTGCTTCTAAACCTTGTAAATAAACAACTCTCAAGTCTCACGGTCTTCATTTCCTGAGACAGGGATTCTGACTGTGTCTTTATTAACTCAATACTATTCCTTATATTTGCCAAATAGTCAATGAGTGCTGTATTTATTCTGATGGTAATAATGCATCTATTAATTGTGATGTATAACAATATGTCAGATAATTCTATTTCCTTTGAGGAACAATACTTCTAATGAAACCAATGCAGGGAATTAAATGGGTAAACTGTGCTTTTGGATGTTTTAAAAACAGATTTATATAGTTTTATGGGATCTTATTTTTTCTCTATATACTTACAGTATGTGTCTGAACACACAGAGGACAGGGCAGACGCTTATTTACCTCATCCAACACTTCCTATTTTGAATGGGTCAAAGTTTAGCAGGGCTACAGCGCGGTGTTGGTTGAAACAGAGAGCACATAAAAAGCAGCTTGGTTCCATTTGGCAAAAACCTTAAATCCGAGTTGATAAATTGAGTTATTTTTTGCCAAATTGGCTGAGTCTGTGTCTCAATTAGTAAATACATTACAGACTGTTATGGGACTCTATATCTCAAGTGTCTTTGGCTGATGCAGATTTCGTGATCGGTCGGCTTGTGCTCATTATCGCCGTAATCTTGAAAAGAAAATACATGTGGCAATAATACTCTGTTATGTAATGCTCGTTTTATTTCAGTGATGATGTTGTATGTAAAATTGCTATGATGTACTAAATAGAAATGCCCCAAAGTCATTTGTGCTTCCAGTTTAGATCCTTTGTAGTCTAGGATCCTAATGCATGAAACCCGGTGAATTAGTTTTTTTGTTTTTTGTTTTGCATATTTTACACCAAGTGTACTTATGTCTGTAAACCATCACTGAAAACCAGATATGTTTTTGGATGGGTAGGTCGATGGTCTATTGTACAGTTTTGTCAAAAGAAAAAGCAGAACATCTTTGCTATGATGTCCTGTGTTTATGACTGGCATAAAAGCGCTACCTATCCTTGTGCAGCCAGTGCTCAACCTTGGGTGAACATCAGTTGAAAACAGCATCTTTTGATCACTGTGGGATTGTTTTCTATTTACTAAAGATTGATCTTTATCTAGATACACTGGATCAGTTGGTGATTTTGTGTTTTCTTGATAGATTCTGTGTTTAAGTTTCCAGATGGCGTAGTATAACACACATTTCCTAGCAATGTGTTTTATTTTGCATTGACATTCAAACTTGACATTGACTGCATTGTGCTGTTTATACATTGACGTAGTTGATGAATGCAAACTTTTGGTTACTTTTCAACTTGATTAAAAATGTCCTGCATAAGGCTAAGTAAAGGTACTGGCCAAAGGGAGCCTTTTAGAAGACAACAAATCAAGATATTTTATAGTACTGCATACAGTATGTAGCAAAGTCTTACTCTTTTTTTTTTGATGCGTAGCACCTCATGAAACTGGCTTGCAACTCACAAACCTGCTCAATGACATATAGCAGGCTGCAAAGGAAAATTATGATTAGAAGCGGTTTAGATCTGCAAATGTAGATATGAATGTTAGACAAAGATAGTAATAGCTGCTATCTCTGAACTGCTGTTTTCAGGTCTGAAACTGTCCGCTCTGCGCTTCGCATCAATACCATTATGCCCTTCTGTACTATTCAGTAAGTAGCTACAATACTCCTGGAAAAATATTTCAAAGTCTATATTGCAAACATTTTTACAGTTTTGTTTGTTTTGTGGTGTTTTGATTTATTTTCTCTTTTTATATAAACATATGTTGGGTGTTTTTGTATTGTCCTAACCATGTATTGGATACATGCAACAGCAGTACCATGTCCTAACTGTATCTTGTATCATGCATATGAAATAAATTGGGATTTAATGACATGGTTTGACCTTGCCTGAGTCATCGACCAGCTGCAGCAGCTCTAATGGGAGGCACACTGGTGCTGAGAGACAAAGAAGCAATAGATAACAAAAGAAGCACGGTTTGGTGGACAAATGGAACCATCTTACTTATCCTTAAACTCATCCTTGATGCACACATGCACCATCCCTCCGAGTGCACATGTACACACACACACAACGTGATTGTTTTCTTTTAGACGCCTTGTCTTTGCACTGTCCCTTCGTTGCCTGCTGCTCATCAGTATTCCAGAGGAGTAGGAGATGTTGCGTAATGATCACATCGACACACTGGGGAGCAGCGTTGCGTAACAGCAGCAGCAGCCTCAAAGACCAGTGGGATGAGTGTGTGTGTGTGTGTTGTATGTGTGGAAGATGGAGAAAGGAAAGAGAAAGTAAGGGAGGGGCTCTGGGAATCAGGTGGGGGGGGGCAAGGACAGGAAAGGATCAAGTGGTTGGAAGGAGGGGAGAGGGGAGGAGAGGGGAGGAGAGGAGAGGAGAGGAGAGGAAAGGGTGCTGAACGTGAGAAGAGAGAAGTGGGGGAGGAGATGGGGCAAGGGGATGGAAGGAGAAAAGATGGAGAATGGGGATGCAGTTAAAGACATGTGAGCCGAGGGAGGGAGGGAGACGCAGGGATGCAGTGAGTGGGCGATGAAGATGTGGAGGAGAGTAGAGGAGAGCCAAGGAGGAGCCTAGCCATGCATGTTAATGTCACACCACTGCACGTTACTATAGAAAGCACAGCCCAGTGTGTTCACATGAGCGAGCCAACGTTACAGCTGTGGCTGTATCTGACAGAGGCACTAGCACAGGACAGACAGACCGACCGACCGACCGACCGACCGACAGACGACTGGATGATGAAATATAAAGTAATATCTGCTGGGATGGGTCCAGCTGAGGTGGGTGGTGAGCAATCTGGCTCCTCACCGTTTGAGAATTTTCATCTTTGCTTTGAATTATTGATCAAACATCACTGGAGTTTGTTTACTGCCATAAGAGAACACATTGCTCAGGCTTTTCAGAGGAACGCAGGGATCCACTCCTCAAACTTTGATCTGCAATATGTTCAAATCTAACACACGTAGACATTAAGAGGTGAGAGGATGTGCATGTCTGCATTATTTTTCACGTAAAAGGTTTAATTCATGTGCTCTACATACCCATAAACAATGAGGACGACACAAATAGCTTATTTTCCATGCTTATTTTTGCCAATCTGATTTTTTTATTACAAACTTAAAAAAGAATCTGATACAATAAGAAACTGCAGTAGTAACTCCCCATTCTCGAGGGGCAGCACAGAAAACAGGTCATTGCATTTCAGTAGTGAAAGATTCATTACACATCTACAGGGTGTACGGATCAGATACAAAATAGGAAAAATAATAAAATACAGGCAGGAAAGAAAGCACTATATTTATACATCATCTGAACTTTTAATTATATCTATTTTACTCTTAAATGTTAAATTTTTTACATAGAAAATAAACTTCTTTTATGACAATGAAATATTCCAAAGTGCAAAATAAAACGCACACATCGATATAAGCAAAGGACATCAGAATACAAAATTCTTGTTTTTCCTCTTCATTAATGTTCAACCCTGATTGTAGAGTAGCCTGCGTTTAGAGCTGATCTCTGGTGCGCTGTCTAATCTGTTCTTTTCAAGTGTAAAACACAAACCAGCAGTCACTCTTAAAGATGTGAGCTTTTACAATAATCATTCACATCCTCAGATCTCTCACCTTAAGAGCCCAAATTTGTATGCAGAGGAAATTTACAACACACCTCGTTTGCACTGAATAATCTGACAAATGTGGAGGAAAAAAGACAAAAAACAAAACAAAAAAACAAGGGGTCATTTGGACATGCATGTGACTAAAAATCTTTCCAAGACTTTTAAACACAATAAAATGAGCAGCCCCCCCCCCATTTATTTTCTGCAGGCCATCTCAACCAGGGTCGACTAACGACAGATCAAAATACACATTCACAGCACATTCATTTCCTTCAACCTTCCAAACCTGCCGTAACACTGTCTTCCTATTGAGGAGATATATATTTTTCTTCTGGGTGCAGAGAGGTAGTAACCCCTTAAATCCTTCAGGGTAATTTAAATTATGGCATTACATTACACTGGAGAAGGGTGAGCATCTGTGTAAGCAAAGACAGTCTGGGATATGGCTATAGTATCAGGACCAAAGGACCAGGCTGAAGAAATCTGGTGAGAAAAAGTTAAGTGTTGACTGGAAATATAATACGAGGAAGGTTAAAAGACATTATTGTTCATATAAATCTGAAGCTATCTGGGTTTGGGTACTGTAGCAGCTACTACAGACAAAAACAGGCAGGCTAAGTGAGTAGTGTTGATGTGCAATTGTTTAGAAAAAGAGGGGAGAAATAGGCTTGCTGACCACACAATATGCAATAAATTCACATAAAAAGGGAGGTTCATTGCACTCAAAAATGAATCTGAAATGTGGAGATTTTTGGTTTAAATGTACTGCCTATGGGAGTAGTGTTGTCAGACTGCCCTGGGAGCACATAGCGATCTTTTCCTACACAAACCCACTGTAAACATTCACATCTTAAACTCCAAATCCAACTTGAAGAATGAATACATTTACCCGTCTTATTAGACAAATGCTGTACAAGGTACAATACACATTCAATACTTTATTCTGTACATCTTTATTTTTGTCTCAGTTTGCATATATTCATGTTATTTTCTGAAAAAATAACCTCAGCATGTAAGAAACTAAACAAAGAATCTGAACATAAGAACTTTTTTTATATACATATTCCTGGACTTGTCATGTCTTACTCATACAAATGTAAGTGATAATTTGCAAAAACAAAAATATAGAAATATTGGAAATAAATTACAAAACAAAAATTATAAATGCATTTTTCCCTCATAATCATAACATTTACAGAGATGTGTACCTCCCCACCCATTCCCTTGAAAAGAACAAAACCAAAAAAAAAAAAAAAAAAAAAAAGAAATAAAGAAATTAAACTTTCATGCATATGACAAGCTGTCACATTGCAAAACCAGCGTCAAGGGTCCTTGTTTCATCTTGTACAAAAACATTTACGGGTCTAGAAAACATTCAAATAAAACGGACAAGACAGACAGCATCTCCTCACCAGCATGATGCATCTGAATACAAATTAAGCTCCTGTTTAAATCTCTAAAGCATTTCATGACAGCTGAATAAAATGTGCAGTTACCAAACAAGAGGGCAAAGGAATGGTTTAGCGCTCATGTCTGTGGGCGACACACAGCATCAGGAGCCCAGTAATAAAGTGCTGGACAGCTCAAATGGACATCTGGGGGTTACCCTTCCCTGTAGTGACTAACCAACAATCACATGGACCCGGCTGGTAAACAAACCTTAGTTAGAAACGGCAGACTTCCACAGATCTGACAAGCCATCAAATAAAGAGTCAAAAGCGACACACCAATAAAGAACATTCATCTTTGTATCTTTGTCTACATCACTGCGACTGGGGGGGAAGACAGAGCAGAACCTGAACTGTGTGTATATTCTGGTTTTCCTTTGTTAACAGCCAGAGGAGCAGAGATCACTGAAGAATTTCAAGAGGAGGGAGAGAATAGTGTGAGCGTTTGGCTTCAATACCATTTAAACTCACCAGAAACGTGCTCTGGGTTTTAAAGTGTCGTTCTCTAAGCCAACACAGCCCGGACGCCACACAGGCAACAGAACCCTCTAGCTGCTTCTCTCCCTCTCTCATTTCCTTCTGTCTTCCCTTCTCTCCCACCTCCCTCTCTCCTCTTCATGCAGAGGAAAACCTCTCCTTCATAGTCAAAGTCATGCTAAGCCATTTATCACAATCCCTACTGCTTAACTGCTGCATCCCCTCCCCCTCACCTCCTTCTACACACACACACACACACACGGAATTGTGTGTATGTGCACATATTTCTGCGTATGTGTGTGCATTGTCTGTCCATTTGAATACATGTATGAAGCCATAACTTGCATCCCTGTGTGTATAATTGAGGTATCAGCACATGTTTATTGTCTTAAAATGGAAAGATCTATTTGCTTTTCACATTCCCCAAGGTTTCCCCGACCTTCCCAGCTGCAGTTTCCCCCGACAGGTACAATACATTCTACTACATCGCTCCTGTAACACCCCGATGCCCCTCTTCTGCTCCCTCTGCTGCTCTCATTTAAATTTAAGCCCACGTCATGTACACGTTCCAGCTGACGATAAACTGCATCCAATATGCACCCCGGTGACAACAACAGAGTCAAATTGTGCCTGTGCACGAGTGCGTTTCAAGGGTAACGGGCCCATCGTACAAACAAGTCTCTCGATCACGCCGAGCCACAACAAAACAGAACAGGACTACACACACGCAGAGACAGCAGAGCCCCCCTCTCTGTATTTGTGGCAAGTAGGGCAGAGCAGATTGCAGAGCAAAGTGCTGAGCTTTCCACAGCCGTCGTTCCCTGCAGGACTTGGCGAGGTCCTTTTTCACAGCATGACAGTGCAGTGCAAATGGAGCTATACTAGAGCCGGGTCCATTAAACTACAAGAAAAAAAGAAAAGTCCCTCGCATCAACATTCAATGCAAAATAATAAACATAAAGAGATTGGCAACGACTCAAGGTAGAAAGAAACTCAACCCCCACCCCACCCCACCCCACCCACCAACTCCTGTCATCAAAGCCAACACGCAGAACATGAGTAACAGCAATGAACAAAAGGGCAGGGTGGAGTTGGGGGTTATGCTGGAACAAAACAGATCACATGAACTATTCAGTGGACGTGGTATTTTAAATCTTTGTAGTAAAACTAATTCTTAACTCGTATTAGTATTAGAACAATTTGTTAGAAAAACTGAAAATATCTGGAGAATCATTGTCCTACACCCACCTCCTCCTACAACAATTCTTATCATTACAAATGAAGGCTTAGTTGGCCAGCACGACAGGCTGGAAGGACTGGCTAGGATATTGCAGGTTGTAGCTTCCTAAACCCTCGACAAACGGTGGCTTCTCCATGTAGGGGATTCCTCCGTTGCTGCCAATGATGCCCACGCTCTGGGCAGGAGGAGGGCTGGAGAAGGGGTCAAAAGATGGATGGGTGTTAACAGTGTGGGGGGGTTGGAATGGGCTGGCATGAGGCTGCATGGGCTGGGTGTCGCCGTCGAAGTAAAGAGGGCCTGGGGATCCTGGGTAGACAAACTCTTTGGCGTTGGGAGAGAGCTGGCTGGCAATGGGACCTCCGAGGGAGTGCAAGGAGAGGGACAGGGGCTTGTGCTTCAGCAGCTCTGGCGCTGAGATGGTGGTGGGAGACCGGGAGAGCATCCTCTGGGCAGGGGGTATGACGACAGCAGAGCTAGCTGCCGACCCGGCCCCGCTGCACTTCTTCATCTTGGTCGAGCCGAATTTAGTGGCGGCGAAGCTTGCGGTGGTGAAGGTGATGGGCTGAGGACGGGCAGTGGGAAGAGTCGAGGGCTGCTGCTGAGTGGAGAGGTAGGGAAGCCCGCCGCTGGGAGGGGAAGGGGTGGAGGTGTTAGAGGAGTGGGCAGCAGGGTCGGTGGGTGTGCTGGAGCTAGGGTAGCTAAAGAGCCCGGGGCAGGACTGGCCAGACAGTGGTGTGGGAGAGCTAGAGAGCGACGGCATGAGGGCAGGAGATGCCTGGCTTCCAATTGGTACAAACACCTGAGCATCTGGGTTGAAGCCCAGACTCTTGGCCTCCTCCGCCTCTGCATCTCCTTTACCCTCTCTGATCACCCCCTCGACTCTCTCGCTGTCACACCCGAGGCCTGGAGGGTCCTCCAGGTAGAGAACCTTCACTGCCCCCTTCTCTCCAATCTGGTAGGATACCTCGTAAGGGTCAATCCACACACTGAGTTCTGCAGGAACATTTGCACGCACTTCCTCCGTGTCCAGTCCACTTCTCTTGGCGGCCAACTCAACCACGGGGTCCCTTGGTGCTCCCAGGTGAATACAGCGGAAGGCAGAACCTCTGAGGGGGGCTTCCGGGTACCAGTGACCCTCAAAACGAGATACCAGTATCCTCTCCAGCTCCTCGCCGAACAGGTCGGCTCGACGCCGAGGCAGCTTGTTGTACAGGTAGGACACGATGAAGTTGAGGGCAACCTTAACTTCTAGATGCATGGCCGCACCAGGTTAGCGCCGTCCTGGGAGCAAAGTGATCAAGATGATGATGAAAGTGAGGCAATGCAAATTTAACAAGGAGTTTTTCCTCTAGGTTATTGAAAAGTGTATGATTCTTTTAGTGTCACCATGGTAAAGGCACCTTGAAGGCAGGGGCAGCAGGTTGCAGGGTTTTTTTTGTGTCGTCACAAATATACAACAATGTTTTCAGGTCCCAACTGTGAAGGAAAAAACAAAGGAAAGCTGTCATTTTACCTGGCAAGAAATGGTTTAGAATCAAAAAGGGGTTAAGACGTGGTTATCGAGCTGTATACAGGAAATAATTATATTTTTAGGGACATAGAAAGCCTTTTTCATTAATTATCATTTTACACATTTAAGCAAGTATTATTTACAGGTTTGTTTTTGTCAGCAACAATTAAACATACTAAAACTTGCATTTTGTTGTTTTCTTTAAAGAATCGCAATTTAAAAACACAAACAAACTGCATTACAGTAAAGACATGCTGCCAATTACGACACTTTTGAGCATACATGGTTCAGTAAATGCATCACTTAAGTGACACACACACACACGCGAGAGAAATATACACGTCTGCCGGTTTGGGACCAGCGGATGAGTTGCTGCTCAATGACATACACTGAGACATACTATCTGTACTGGCCCGTGATGGCAAAGATTAATTTAAATTGGAAACTTGACACTTGTCTAATTTGTTGTGAAATGACTTTAAAGCAATTAAAAATAGATTCAAAGAGCTCGGTGAAACAGTGTGAGAAGCCCATTGTAATGCCTTTAGGAGTCAAATTGCATTTCTCTAATACAGTACAGCAAAAATACATTACATTTGTTAGACATGTGATTACTTAAAAAGGGATGAGGGGAAAATATTCCAGCATCACTGAATATACATACTGTATATTGTTTGTTCAGAGAAGAGCAAACATATTTACACAACCACTATTCTTATTCAGTGACACACAGCAATTATACACATTTAATATTTAATATTTTGGTTTTATCAACTACACGGTGTACTGATGGATGTGGCAGATGCTGTGTTGTGGGCTGCATAAATCCTTTATAATCTGAATCCGATCCCATGGAGTGCCTCCTGCTTAATGCTTAAACACACAGTCACACAGCCCATTCATCACCATGCAGAGTCAAACCGAGTGAAAGATTACATGCAAAAAGGAAAAATAAAAACAACGCCACAAGACTCACAAAGAAAGAAGAGTAAAATGGCAGGACAGTTAGACGACTTCACAGAACACCATTTCCCACCATGCAGTGTGCGCGATCACCCCCTCCCCTCCCCCAATACGCACACACAAACAATTCACTCACATTCACTTCCCTGCCAGATGGGGATTCGGCAGCTAAGATTAGAAAGACGCCTCCGATTAAAGACAATTCTAATGTTATTACAGATAAAGCTGCACAGGCTGCATGCAGGGCTGCCGGAGTGACAGCTCAAGACGAGATTTACATTTCTCCCATCGCATGAAAAAGGTGACATTGAAGGATAAGATGGGGGTTGGTTAGAATGGGCTATAAATAGGGCCCCATTTTGCATCATGTATGGTGCCACTTCTCTCCACAACCTGTTTTAAAAAATGAGTTAAAGGGAATAAAGGATCTTAGAGCCCAGAAGAATCCACCGGCCGGTCACCTGCAACAGCCATCATCACTAAACACCTTGAGTACACACACAGCTGAGCCGCCTACAGCATCTACTGCATTTCGTACCTCTCATTATTTAAAAAAAAGGAACAAAAAACAAAAAAACAGTAAGATACACAAGATCCAATGTCATTCAATGACAGAGGAATAACTCAGTTAATATGTGCAGATTTGCTGCTTCAGGAGAGCAATAGATGGTCTAAATCGTAAACCACAGCATGCAGTTTTTAAATAAAAACATCAAAATCTTCCATATTCACAGAATCCCTCGCCGTGTTGATCCCTATATTCCTCACATGCAGATTTGCTACACAGCTTGAGGGAGCTGGATTCGTTTTTACAGGCCTGTTGTTGTGGGTCAGACCAACAGCAGGATCTATAGAGCTATTTTTGTTTACATGGACTCATTATCAGAGCTGCAAATGTGTGTGTGCTGCAAAGCATCCACTACATGACAGCTTTTATCCATTAAGCTGCAGATTTATCTTAAGCACAAGCTACAATTATATCTATGAAAGCAAAAGCCCCTTTATAAATTATTGTTATAATTGTTAAGAGCAACATAAAGAAAAGGCCCATCTGAGCTGAAGTGATCACCACACACAAACCTCCATACAACAGGACATTTATATTCTTTGCTATTCCTTTTTGTCTTGTTGAATTCAGTTTTCTCCCATTTGGACTTTAACAGATTGTAGTTGGTTAGTAGTTTAAATTGGGAATATGTTGCAAATCTACAAGATGCCAAGTAATGGACGTAAACGTGCAAGAAGAGCGTGAGATTGGAGAAATATAAGCCAGGTCTGCATGTGTGATGACAAGCTCAGATAACACGGGAGCAGGGTCTACCTGGGGATTACTGCCATATGTCAGTCAAAAGGCACTGGAGCAGATAGGACACTGGTTTAGCTGACATGCAAGTAAAGAATCCCTCCATGCCAAATTGTCGCTGTAAATTAAATTATAAAGCTAATTAAGTGGTGAGCAGCCTATCGACCGAGTGTGTGCACTGAGCAATGGAGAAAGAGTCTCTCCTCAGCATAAACAACCCCGACAAAACAAATAAAAAAAAAACGAAAATTAAACGTGACAGCCGAGCAGACTTTAAGAGGGTCACCCGAGCTAATATAAATATATAACGGGCCGAGACAAAAACAAAAGCTGAGTCTGTAGTCAGTGGCTGAACCAGTACAGTCATTCATTATAGTCAGCGCATTTTGATGGATGGACAACGCTTCTGGAAAGACAAACAGCAACACACAGCAACATGCTGTTTTCCGTGAACACGCCTATAAGGATATTAAAATTAAATTAGCACGTTTCATGCACCGGCTGGCATTTAATTACTCACCTATCGTTACTGATGCCCCAGCTTGACTCGTACTCCTGCGTTTCTGTTTTAATTCCCTTGTGTTGTCTCGGGTATCAAGGCGGATCAGTCGAGTCGCTGGTGCAGAGGCTGACCTGTAGATATTCTTTCACCGTGGTATTGTTGGTTTTGGTTGAGTGCTACCCCAGTTCTCAGATGGTCAAAGGTTTTTCCCAGTTAGTCTTCAGCTGACACTTTGCATGGAGGGTCCAGAGAAACTTTACTGTTTGACAACCCGGCGTATATATACAGTGTGACTCGCCCACACGCCCGTGACGGCAGGGACTACTTTCTTCATATTGTAGTAGCTGTTGGCTTATTATTATTGTTTTTTTCCCATATAGCGGAATTTATATCTCTCTTTTCCTTTCAGAAAATAATCAGTGCGATCCCTGTGGACAATATCTATTTTAATATCAACCCGCAGACTGATAAAAAAACAAAAACAAAAATGTCTCTCCTCACTTTCATTACCATATGTGGACCCATAGTCTTCCTCCAGTGGCGACGCCACAAACACAACAAATTGAGACGTTTTTTTTCATTCTATAAAATTATATTTACGTAGCTGGCTCTAGTTTAATTCGCGCAGGGATATTTGTAGTTCCCTACGGTGCTGAACAATTTGCTAAAAATACAAGTGGTGATAGCAACAGAGTCTCTATTGGCTGAGATGGGGGAGGAACCACAGATTATTGGGTTGAAGCGTCCATTCAGCTGCTAAAGCAACCTGACTTTTACCAAGGGCTTGTGGGTAATGATGTTCTTATCGCTAAATCATGTGCTGCAATAAGTCTTAAATAATATCACGGGCTTTAACTTTTTGTTGATTCCGGGTTTATTTTGCAGTCACACAATATTAGACTACAGTTTTCTTCACTGTAGCATCAAGGTTCAATAGTATATTATGGTTTGGACTGTGATTATGGATATATTCACAAAATGTTTCATTTTAAATCATATGAATTTAAAAGCAAATCAGAGCCTTATGCGAGCAAATTGGGTAGCCATAAAAAGCAAAACAAAATATGTCACAATAAGTGTAGAACTGATATTCTGGATGAGAGTTTTGAAAAATGTGAGTCCTAGTACATTTAAGCATTTTTGCATAATTGTTTGACTAATTTGCTTTTTATCAAAGCTAAACTATTTGTTTTCTTTTGAAGTCGTACTTCAGAATGTGTAATGTCAGGCAATAGGACTTAGTGACACTACAGTTAGGACTCATCTTAATGTACTGGAAACAGATTATTGACTTTTTTGAGTGCATTTTTTGAGTATTGTGAGATTTGTATCAGGTAGAAAATATTTTCAAAATAAGACTGTAACTGCCAAATAAAGGGAATAACAGCTAGAAGCACAATATTGGGAGTATAAAGTAGTCAAAAATGGAACTACTGAAGTACAATTTTGTACTTCAGTACTCAAGCAAATGTTAGTTAGCCTGCTTTCCACCACTGTCTAGTTCATGCATGTGTAAAAAGATTAGAGATAAAGTTATATGAAATACAGATGTCATCAAGATGTTAAAGCTACATAATTTCCAAAAAGTTCAGAGACAGACTGGAAGGGAAAGAATATAACAATTTCTCAATATCTTAACAAAATAATAAATATAAAATGAAAATAAATAATAATAATAATAAAAAATAAAGAATAATAACATATATTTGTTTGAATTATAATTAATCTTTTTCCTTCCAGTAATAATAATAAAAATAAAGAATAATACCATATATTTGTTTGAATTATAATTAATATTTTTCCTTCCAGTAATAATAATAAAAATAAAGAATAATACCATATATTGGTTTGAATTATAATTAATATTTTTCCTTCCAGTAATAATAATAAAAATAAAGAATAATACCATATATTGGTTTGAATTATAATTAATCTTTTTCCTTCCAGTAATAATAATAAAAATAAAGAATAATACCATATATTTGTTTGAATTATAATTAATATTTTTCCTTCCAGTAATAATAATAAAAATAAAGAATAATACCATATATTTGTTTGAATTATAATTAATATTTTTCCTTCCAGTAATAATAATAAAAATAAAGAATAATAACATATATTTGTTTGAATTATAATTAATATTTTTCCTTCCAGTAATAATAATAAAAATAAAGAATAATAACATATATTTGTTTGAATTATAATTAATATTTTTCCTTCCAGTAATAATAATAAAAATAAAGAATAATAACATATATTTGTTTGATTTATAATTAATCTTTTTCCTTCCAGTAATAATAATAAAAATAAAGAATAATACCATATATTTGTTTGATTTATAATTAATCTTTTTCCTTCCAGTAATAATAATAAAAATAAAGAATAATACCATATATTTGTTTGAATTATAATTAATATTTTTCCTTCCAGTAATAATAATAAAAATAAAGAATAATACCATATATTTGTTTGAATTATAATTAATCTTTTTCCTTCCAGTAATAATAATAAAAATAAAGAATAATACCATATATTTGTTTGAATTATAATTAATATTTTTCCTTCCAGTAATAATAATAAAAATAAAGAATAATAACATATATTTGTTTGATTTATAATTAATATTTTTCCTTCCAGTAATAATAATAAAAATAAAGAATAATAACATATATTTGTTTGAATTATAATTAATATTTTTCCTTCCAGTAATAATAATAAAAATAAAGAATAATACCATATATTTGTTTGATTTATAATTAATATTTTTCCTTCCAGTAATAATAATAAAACGTAAACTAACGGTCTCCTTAAGCCGGTGACGTCACTTCAGGGCGACAATCATCTTTGTCAGTGAACAAAATGGCGTCTTACTGTTTGACTGTCACTAGGCTACGGGTAAGAAAACGTTATTTTAATTTGTGAAGACTTTTAAATCTCCGTTTCTATCGAGCACATAAGCGACAACAGATACGTCCTGCGGTGTCGAACCGTACGACGAACGACCGCCGGCGGGTACGTGTAGAGGGAAGTGCGCACTGAGCCGCTGCCGGTCAGGTCACCGTGTCCCCGTTTGACTCCTGACAGCCCCGTTACCATTATAAACCACGTCCGGACAGACAGACAGACAGACAGACAGACTCACTCCGGTATCGTGTCGTGTTGTTGTGAACACCTGTGTCAGTGTGAGCGGCTCTGTGGCTGCTGTCGGCGCTCTGATTTGTGCAAGGTGATCGCAAGGTTACAGAGTTTTCTTCACGATAGTTTCCTCCTGACAGCGGGGGGACTGATGCTCTGATGCTCAGCGGTGTGTTTGTGGCCCTGGGGTTGGGTAGTGGACCAAATCAGATTGTATGTGTTTATTTTTATTGGTTAGCAACTGTTTACAAAAGGATGTCATCACAAATCAGTGCTGCTTCACTTACATAATAACAGCTTACACGCACTTTGAATTGGCAGCGCTTTGGATGCACCAACTAAGAACACTGATTTATTTATGAATTATTGGACACATTAAAAAAACAAAAACATGACGGTAAAAACTATATTTCATGTCTTGTAAATGCTAAGTACATTTAGTGTTATTGTCTGCTGGATGAGGCCTTGTTTTTCTTGGTGTTTCCATTATGTATGCCTAAATATTTTTATTTGAATTCAAGTACAAAAACCATCAAACTAGTCAGATTATCACACATACTGTATAAATATTAATGTACCCCTAAATCCATTGTTCCCTAAATAAATATAATATGATTTAAAGGAGAAAAAATACATGAGGAGCATTTTTTTATTATTATATACATTATTATATTACATACAGTAATAGAGAACCGTTGAGTTTTGAAAATAATATAAAAATGGTTGATAGAATAGTGTGCATGAGTTGAGACATTACCTCATTTATCCAACGTTTATGAGATGGTGCCATTATCTTTTCCCATTTGAAGATAATCAGTTGACATTCAAGCAGTGTAGAAAATGCTATAGTCTCATATCATAGTATTGAGTTGACATTATATAAAAGCTATGCATTCAACGAGGTTGTTCATTGGCCATTTGCACCTAGTACTGTTGAAATTACACCAGGGCCTTTTTCAGGGCCTGTGTGGATGTTTTAAACAGTTCAAATGACTAGATGGGGATTCTCCTCATTTAGTCTCAACCTACTCTTTAAATTGCAAACCCAAAGGACCTCCCAAAATGTCTGTTTCTGCTGATAAAATGCCCGAAAAAGCCATGACTTCCACTGCTGGTTTATTTATGCTGATCTTATTTGTAGTTATAGTGCTGCTCTGGTTTACTTTGCCTACACATAGACATCTGTGTTCACTGGGCAGTCGCATTGGTAAATGATAAATTGACTGTACTCCACCACTCAAAGCACTGTGCACTACATTGCATAGGATTTCATGACAATCATTTGATCACATTAGGCTGTCCTTGGTATCAAATTGTAACCGTTTTATTTAAAGTGCATATCATTAAATATATCTCTCATATCTGAATCAAACACATTGATTTGCAGATGACAAGTACAGACATGAAGGAGCTATACTGGTTCCCATGCTGCTTTTACTGACAGTATTTGTGTGCTTCTTGTGCTCATACATAGTTAACAATGTAGGGGAATGTTGAATCCACTCAGTGTTTCAGGCTGTCAGTAACTGCCAAGCGGGTGAGGCAAACCCCTGCAATGTGAGCTGTATAAACTTTCACCCAGTTTTCTCTGAGCGCTGTGACTTTCCACTGAATATCATCACTAAGAGGCAGATAAAAAGTGAACATAGCTGGTTTAAAGATGATCCATCCAGGATCACACATTGGCATGACATGTTTAATTGCTGGCTTTGTTGGCAGCGACAAAAGACTCAAAATGCCTCAAAAAGTTGAAGCATTGTCCCGATTACATTTATGATATTTAGTCTAATACTGGGTTTCTGTTTGTTTTGCATACATAATGTATTTCACCACGTAATAAAGCTGGACATTAAAGGTATTGAAAGAAAGGTCTTGTAATGCTGTGTCTACGGAGAGATGAGTGTCAGTCTGATATTGAGCACGAGAGTTTGGACAGTATTTTAACTGTTTTTATTACCAACAAAGTCCTGAATTAAATTAAATTATTAATTAAATTCTTCACAATATAGGACCAAACCCCTGAAATGGTTTGCATTTTTTGAACCAATAATTTCTCCACTGGCTTTGTTGGCTGTACTTTAAACTGGCTGTTATTTATGAGGCAAAGCTATAGTTTAAAGTGTAGTAAAGTGGGATAAGATAAACAGAATTTACAATGACTGATCAATTAAAATATGCTTTGTTTGGTTCCAGTACTGATCTTGTAGAGTGGCTGTTGTGACTAAAATGGAGGATTCTTCTGTAGGCCACATTTTTACTGTTGCCATTTGAAAGATTGTGTTTTAACTATCCGGGCATGTGATCCTATTCTTGCATAATTTACTGCCACTCTTTCCTCAGTATAGTTATTAAATAACTCAAACTTTAATGTGTCTGTGTGTATAATAAAACTTAGTTAATGGTGTTATCACCTTTAAAATTGTCCTCTGTTTCCTCTGGTCTAGTTGGTCCTTGGAACCGGGACAAGGCGAATTCATGTCTCTACAGCCTTCAGCGCCAAGGCCAAGGTGGCCATGAGCCGCTTTGAGCCTGGCTCCAGCATTAACTATGAGAAGATGCATGAGAACATCAACATTGTACGCAGGAGGTCAGTCGTTGCCCTTCTTAGAAATACACATGAACATACACAGAGTCCTTGTCGATTACACTTTGGCCCACAAGGAATGGCTGGTGTTTATTACAGCTGCACAGTAAATCTTGTGACATTTACAGTGTTGACTTGTCAGGGCCAACAAGACCCAGAGCTAAGTTTGGATGACCTAGTGTTCCCTTCTTCCTGAGCTTACCACTTGCTGTAATCCAGGAATAGGAAAAGCCTTTTGTGTGGGGGTTATATGACTCTTAGATTAACATTGAGCTTTTCATGATAAGCCATAGTTACTTATGGTGTTCAGTGCTTTTCCATGGTTCCTGACAACAAGCAAAATACAGTTCTTTATAAAAAGTGAGACACAAAGACAGAAGGACACTGCAAGAACACTTATATAATATTTTTATTATTAATACATTTGTATAGATACTAAAAGTAAGACCTTTTACCCAAATTGATAAAACTTGTATCTGACCCTGCAAAATATACCAACACACCTTTTTACCACATCTTTCCATTAATCCTCCCCACCAGGCTCAGCAGGCCTCTCACTCTGTCAGAGAAGATTGTGTACGGTCACCTGGATGACCCAGCTGGGCAGGAGATCGACCGCGGCCGCACCTATCTGCGTCTGCGTCCAGACCGTGTGGCCATGCAGGATGCTACAGCTCAAATGGCAATGCTTCAGTTCATCAGCAGTGGTCTGCCCACGGTGGCGGTTCCCTCCACCATCCACTGTGATCATCTGATTGAGGCTCAGATTGGAGGGGTACAGGACCTGCAGAGGGCTAAGGTGAGGACAGGCATAGGAAAGATGGATAGAGTATCTATCTATATATATAGATATATAGATATATTTTTATGGTAGAGTCACTATACTCTGGTTTGAAAATGACTGATTTCAGGTGACTAGAGCTGGTTCAGGTTTTTACAGCCAGTCACAATTGATATCAAAAACAACACACCAACCAACAACACTAAGCCTGTTTGCTTGCAAAATGTGTATCTGGTAGCAACCTCAAACTAATTGATATGTGCAAGTTTCCTCTCTGGCGTTTGGCTCAGTTTATTATGAGGTTTTGTCAATTGAAGGTCCAGTGTGTAGGATTTAGTGGCATCTAGTGTTGAAGTTGCAGATCTCCACTAACTGAGTACCGCTTGCAGCTATACTTGATGACCTGGGAATAAGAACAGGCTGGGAACTATTCCTATATTTAGGTGATTATACATGAATGAAAACATACCTATGAATATTATAGTAGATCCTCTTAAATGTTACACATTGGACCTTTAACACAATGATTGCAACAAGAGCTAATTTCTATTTTGGATAGTGTTTATACAGTGCAATTGCATTTTGAGATAACTTTTCAATACACTGTGGTATATATTTTTAACTGACAGTATCGTGTATTCACTTGAACTAACTTGTTAAGATTTAACTCATCTTCAACAGAAGCCTTAACTCTTCCCTAATTGCTTGTAATACAGGACATAAATGAGGAAGTGTACAACTTTCTTGCAACTGCTGCTGCTAAATATGGAGTTGGCTTCTGGAAACCTGGATCAGGGATCATTCATCAGGTACAACGCACTTACTTATAAGGATGCTTTGTAAATATTTGAAGAATTTGAAGTGTGTTTAGCAGGTAAACGTTTGAAATGAAAAATATTTGCATATTCATAGATTCTCTTTTTTTCAGTGAGTAGTAGTAGAAGTTTACCTTGGCAATTAAAGTACCATGCCAGACACACTTATTATCGTTCAAAGCAGAGTATTTTTGTATGTCTTATAACATATCTGCAGTGGATTTTTAATAAATTCCTGTCAGTGAACTTGCACATCGTATTCTACCTGCAGTGAATCAGCATGCAGTTCCTTCCAAACAGTATTTGAACAAGAGTGATTATTATAACCTCTTTCTGGTGCTTCCTGAAAAAGGACATTTCCAGAGAAGTTGTTGATTTCAAATAGCAATTGAAAGAAATCTTAAGACCCAGGGAAAAATGTGTGACTGACTGTGGATGTCCCTTTCTTTGGACAGATCATCCTGGAGAATTATGCCTATCCTGGGGTGATGCTGATTGGTACAGACTCCCACACTCCCAATGGTGGTGGCCTGGGTTCAATCTGTATTGGAGTGGGTGGAGCTGACGCCGTGGATGTCATGGCTGGAATCCCTTGGGAGCTCAAGTGTCCAAAAGTAAGTTCTTGACATCTGATATCTTGCACATTTATTTTAATGTCAACAGTTTCGACCCTCATTTCAACCACTTAATGTCTCCACAAATATCTCTATCTGATTGTTTAAGACTGTGTGTGTTTTTCAATTCAGGTGATTGGAGTGAAGCTGACAGGAACCTTGTCTGGTTGGACCTCTCCGAAGGATGTCATCCTGAAGGTGGCTGGCATCCTGACTGTGAAGGGCGGCACTGGAGCCATTGTGGAGTATCATGGGCCTGGAGTTGACTCCATCTCCTGCACTGGTAAGGATAAAAAATATCACGACCTGAAATGCTGGTGAAGGATATTCTCAGTGTTTAGATGTGAAAATCAAAGAAAGGAAGAATAATGACCACTTCATCTACCATCCACATCTTGCTTGGATAATTAATTAATTTCTTAAACTTAAGTTCTTAGGGTAGCACTAAGGGTAAAATGACACTTATATGTTACAGGAATGGCCACTATCTGCAACATGGGTGCTGAGATTGGAGCCACCACGTCCATTTTCCCCTACAACCACCGCATGAAGACGTACATGGAGAAAACTGGCCGTGGAGGTCAGTCCCTTACCGCTAGTTTCTATATGTTTAGTCTTTATTTACCATGTCTTATCTACCTCATCTCCTTCTTCATCCCCTTTCAGAGATTGCCACTGTGGCTGATCTGTTCAAAGATGACTTGGTCCCAGATAAAGGCTGTGAATACGACCAGGTCATTGAAATTAACCTGAGCGAGGTGAGTCAAAACACTTGGGTTTCCTAACATTAGTCATGTATTGTAAGACATTAATATCGGCATGTCCCAAATCCATACTACATACTAATTATTTCCAGTATGTATATATAATAATCCTCATAGTATGTGGCATAGTCATTAGCTTCATGAATGACCTAGGTCCTGAAGCTGGGCAGTAAACTAAAAATGTACAGATATTGGTAAGAATCACTGACTGACTGAAATTTAGCTTATGTTGGCAAAGTTAAGTAAAGTAAGTTTTCCTGAGTCCATTTCGAATGCTGTCTACTAAAAACATTACAGCACCCACACTTTTGCTTTGTTTTGTTCCGTGTTATGTGGTTATTATGGTAAAGCTCCAGTGTGTTACACTTTGGAGGATCTACTGGCAATCAGCTGTTTTTTTCTACAGAGGGAGCGGGTCCCTGGAGGCTGCCATGTTTCTACAGTAGCCCAGAACAGGCGAACAAAACACTGGCACTAGATAGAGCCTTTCACGTTTTTTGTGAGTTGTAGCACACAGTAGTTTTTCCTACACCAGTGTTCTCAACTCCTGGAAAATGTCCTGGAAAATGATTTCTTAAAAAGAGTGGGAACCCTGTACACTCTTGAAATGGGAGGGTGAGACGAGGGCGTTGTAATATGCAACTACACCACGCCACTAAATCCTACATACTGGTCCTTTAAGTGCTTATAAGTGTTCCTATTTTAGAAAACAGTATTTTAGCATACGTAAACTCCCACTTTACCCAAATTATGACTGCACCTTTTTTCCCTCCTCCTCTAACAGTTGAAGCCCCACATCAACGGACCGTTCACCCCTGACCTGGCCCACCCTGTGTCTGATATTGGGGCTATAGCTAAGAAGAGTGGCTGGCCCCTTGAGGTTAAAGTTGGTCAGTATTTGTGACACAGCTGTATTATCTTTCATTTTTTTATAACTGTAATGCTTTGTCTAGTGAAATGTGATATTTCTTTCTTTGTTCCTACTAGCTGTGTTATTGACCAGATATGTTCAGATTACATTACAGCCCTCATATGGTCTTCTAATATGGTACCACTGTAACTCTATGCTCCCTCACTTTAGTTTCCTTGTTCTTATTTCTTACAAACATTGAACTTGCAGGTCTGATCGGCAGCTGCACTAACTCGAGCTACGAGGACATGGGCAGAGCGGCCTCTCTGGCCAAGCAGGCTCTGGATAAAGGTCTGAAGTGCAAGGCCCAGTTCACAGTCACCCCAGGATCTGAACAGATCCGCGCCACTATCGAAAGGGATGGATATGTGAGTCAACAGACTCTCACCAAAATTTAGCAAGTGATCCATAGCATTTTTTCTAGAGTTCCCGTTTTTTTTATTCATGTTGTACCTCTTTCAGGCCAAGATCTTGAGTGATGTTGGTGGGATTGTACTGGCCAATGCTTGTGGACCCTGCATCGGACAGTGGGACAGGTGCGCACCTCATTTGTAAAGGCTAATTGTTTGCCCCTGAAGTCTAAGGAACAAATAGAAAATTCCTATGAGTTATGTAGGTTAAACAAAATGGATCAGACTAACAAGTCCGTCTTTTCCCTTTCTTCAGGAAGGATGTGAAAAAAGGAGAGAAGAATACTATTGTCACATCCTTCAACAGAAACTTCACTGCCAGGAATGATGCTAACCCAGCTACTCATGCTTTTGTCACCTCTCCTGAGGTAAGATGTACTCCAAGAATAAAATACAAGCTCAGTGATTCATAATAACAGGGGCATCAATAGACAGATTTACAGTAGCTCATACATGCAACATGCACACCCTCTGTCTCCTAATATTGTTGATCTAAACAAAAAGATACAAACACATTAATCCATGCCTGTTTCAACATAGATTGTCACCGCCTTGGCCATCGCCGGGACCCTCGACTTCGACCCAGAGACAGACTATCTGACCACTCCTAGCGGAGAGAAGTTCAAGCTGGAGCCGCCCACCGGTGACGAGCTGCCCTCCAGAGACTTCGACCCGGGCCAGGACACCTACCAGCACCCCCCAGCCGAGGGCGGCTCAGTCAAGGTAGTTTTTAGCTGGATCGCAACAGTGAGCCCAGCCCTAAAAACAGCAAAGAAAGAAAGAGAGAATAAAAGAGAGAAAAGAGAAAGTTACTGAATGATGAGGTTAAGCTATTTGTCTGGTCAGTGTTGTAGTTTTCTGATTGGCTGTTTCTCTTTCAAAATGAATAGGCACAACCCATAGACTGTTATTAAAGATGCACTTAGTCTCTGTAATGTCACTCTTCGGTTTCTGAAGCAGTATTGTAAAGCTTAGTGTGGTCGGCTATTGCCGTCACCATCTTGGCACCTTATAATAATATAGGAACATTACGTGCAATAGTCCATCACCTTCTCTTCCCCTCTTTCTCTCCCTAACACACACACATGCAGAGTGGTACTGTGCAGAAAACAAGTGAAGGACACATCATCTGTGTGTGTGGTATCTGTGTAAGAGAGAGAGAGAGAAAGGGTTGTTTTTCTGCTATACAACAATAAAGAACACACATTTCTAACATTTTTTGACTCAAACTAAACTTAATCATGTCATGTGATCTGCTTCAGTACACCAACAATGTTACTGGGATTACTACAGAAAATGGCAGATTTACATTTACTATCCAGATATTCATATTATAGAGACTACTGCTGACTATACACAGTCCCACCATATAATATCTTTCCACCTAGTCTTGTCTTGTTTTTTAACATATCAGTATCCGTATCTAATCTCAACAATCCAGAAAGCAGCAAAACATTAATGAAACAGACTTTTAGTGAGGTGAGCGTCCTCTGTCATAACCCAATAAGAGTTTAATCCAGTACATGAAAGAGTAAGTGTAAACTAACAGCATGATCAAGGCTTGTTTAGACAAAAGTGTGTAACGTGACAGTCCGCTATCCTTTTGAAAGTATTCTTTACATCTTACCCTAATATGATGTTGTTCAGGTGAACGTGAGCCCCTCCAGCAACCGTCTGCAACTACTGGAGCCCTTCGACAAGTGGCATGGAAAAGACCTGGAGAACATGAGGGTCCTGATTAAGGTGAGCGGGATGTGGAAGGAACGTTGTGGTGGATGGGCAAGTAAGGGAGAGCTAGTAGAACTAAACAGCATCTTAAATGTATTGTCAGGCCACTGGGTGAGCCAAATCGTTGTAAAGCAAATCTCAACAAATCATGGATTTGTAATATAATTATGGAGAGACTAAAACCAACAATGAACTGATGTTACTAAGTAGTAAGCCTGATGTATCTCAGCCTTCTTTGTCTTAGAGCGCCAACTATTAAAACACACGACTGAGATGACATTAGAAGAAGAAGAAGAAGAAGAAGAAGAAGAAGAAGAAGAAGAAGAAGAAGATATACTTTATTGATCCCCTAGGGGAAATTGTTCTTTTCACTCTTTTTTTTTTTTTTTATACGACACACACACACACACACACACACACACACACACACACACAGGCTGAAATGCACACTTCATGCACTTGTGGACATGCAAAGGGGAGAAGGATGGTGGACTGATGGGATGCACATAGACAGGTGCACTATGATTTATGCCTTCAATAGGAAAGAATGGGATTGGGGTTGGGATGCACAGACAAGGTAGATAACTCTACTGAATTAGATAAATTAGTGTATTGTTAAATAGCCATCGTTTAATTACTTTCTTCATCCTTGGTAGGTGAAAGGAAAGTGCACCACTGACCACATCAGTGCTGCCGGCCCCTGGCTGAAATTCCGCGGCCACCTGGACAACATCTCCAACAATCTGCTCATCGGTGCAGTCAACATTGAGAATGACGCCGTCAACAAGATCAAGAACCAGCTGACAGGAGAGTACGGAGGTGTGCCAGACGTGGCTCGCTACTACAAAGTGAGTTTGACACGGGACACTTTCTGTCGATTATTTGTTTTAACTTAAAATAATGAACACATTTCCCCATCCACCAGAACAATTCAGTTGAACCAACACCTTTCTAAAAACCATTCTAACTAAAACTGAACATTACAACATTCATAAGGGAGGATTCATTGGAGGACTGTTGTATTAGATACTGCATTACTTTTAGCTGGGTGTACCTAGTTAATTGGCATATGAGTACAGATTCTGTAGTGTGCTGTATGCTCGTGCTGGTAAACTAAAGAAGACAGACCAGGCAAAATTGTTATTTGTTTTGTATATTTACCTGGCAACAAAATTTTCCAATTTCCTCCGTAGCACTTTATTTATCTACTCTGTCCTTGCCCTGACAGCAGTTCAATTGTTTCCTTTGTCTTGGCTAAACTGTATAACCCAGGCCAATGGAGAGAGCTGGGTGGTGGTTGGAGACGAGAACTACGGAGAAGGGTCCAGCAGAGAGCATGCTGCCCTGGAGCCACGACACCTTGGAGGACGCGCCATCATCGTCAAGAGCTTTGCCAGAATCCATGGTGAGTTTCAGGGCAACAGAGAAAAATAAACATCTCTTGCATTTTAGAGATATTCTGAATTCATGTGCTATGTTTCTATGCTTATGCTCAAACTTCATTTTCTTTGTGAAAGGTAGAGGCAACAGGGTAGCAGTATCTCAATTGTTGTGACTGGGTTCTAGAGCAAATTGATGATTATTTAGTCTGGCATGTTGACAGTCTGCCGGAATACAGATGTCTCCAGCAGCGTCTAAGAGAGTCTCAAAGTTATAATTAAGAGTCCATTAGTGCCAGTTTATTGCATATAGGTGGTTGGATGTAAGAGAGTGGGTAGCTGAAAGCCTGTCTGATGTAAGGAATGTTGCTTTCATTTGTGTGACAATATTTCCCGAAAAACACAAAATAAATGCTGTTGTGTGTAGCTGATACAGTTTACATTAGCTGTATACGAAGTTTAAATTTCCAACGGCATGAATTTAGTGGAACATTAATTCATCATGAGAACTGATGCTGACCAACAGCCAGACACTCAGGTCCATCATTCTCCATGACCTTGTATTTCTGTGTAACAGATATACTCCAGTCTGACAAAGAGCCCTTCTTTGGTTACCTGATGGAAACACAGTATAAGTCAGTGTCTTGCCGATATGTCTGATACCTTTTTTTTCTCTTCCTCACAGAGACTAACCTGAAGAAGCAGGGCCTGCTGCCTCTGACTTTTGCCGACCCCAAGGACTACGACAAAATTCGCCCTGATGACAAGATTTCGATCACTGGGCTGAAGTCCTTTGCTCCCGGCAAGGTGAGCAATATTCTGCACTAATGAAACACTGATCCAAAGGACAGAGGGCTATGATTGACACATTATCTTGTTTGCCTCCTGTGTCCTCCTCCAGCCTGTGACAGCTGTGATCAAGCACAGCGATGGCAACCAGGATTCCATTTCTCTCAACCACACCTTCAATGAGACGCAGATCGAGTGGTTCCAGGCTGGCTCCGCCCTCAACAGGATGAAGGAGCTCCAGTAATTGGTGGGAGAGGTGGGAGGCAGGGCCTGTAGGGGCCACTGAGGGGCCTTGGCACGGGTTAAAAAGGGGAGTAGTGTGGGCCTAGAGAGGGGCTTTGCAAAGAGGAAGAGACAATGTGAACGGTAGATGATGACCAGTCTTTTTGGTGTTCATGTTGGTTTAGGGACAACTGTCTTTATGCTCGCTGAAAGAAAGAACTTACACACACACAAGGTCGCTGTACAGATGAAAAGCGCACACACACATACACACACAAGCACGCACTTGCACAGACAGGATTACTGTGAAAGCACTCCCACAGCAGCATCACTCGCACTGGCAGCACTCCTCAGTTTAACATCCAATTTGTCGAGCTTATTTGTTCACTGAGTGTAACCCTGTAGCTAGATATTTTCCTAATTTTGTGACAGATTGGTATCACTATTTTATTTTTCTAATGTGGATGTTGTTAGATTCAGTCGTTTCGAGCTTCCCCTTAGAGAAACAGACTTATTGGAAGCATTAAAATAAAGGATTATTCATTATCAACCTCATATTTAATGATGTACCTAGCAGTATACAGACCTGATTCAGACCCTGAATTAATGAAGTTAGATACAGAATATCATTAAAGTAAAATTGGTGAAGCAGTGACAATTTAACAGCTTCATGCTTTAATATCTTTAACTGCATTATACCTCCTCTTTAATGTTTATCTCAGTAGTTTCCATCCAAACAGCTCAATAAGCTGAATGAGTTGTTCAACTCATGAATGTATTTTTCCTTCATTATGTCCAGACCTGTCAACTGAAGAGCATCTTTTCCACATGTTATCAATCATTATGATGCACCAAATGGAGATGAACTCCTCTAGTCATGCTTCAGTTTCCTCCTGCAGTGGGCTGATGGGTTTGTTGCTTTCTGACTCCGTTATTGACTTGAACAATTGTTTCCTCACTCATTGTAGATTGGAGCCACACTGTAAACAATCTACCACGCGCACCTATTTACTGTAGGCAGCATCACTAACATCCCATCAGCCCGTGTGCTGTCAGGGCACAACTGCAGTCCAGCCGTACCCCACTCAGTCTGATATCTTTCATACTGTTGTTGTTGCACCCTGAGCATTACACAGACTGTGGTTCACTCCTGTACATTTCAGCCAACATGTGAGTCTGTGTTCACTCCCTGCTGTTCTTCCAGTGCTTGCTTGCTCATACTCTTGTCTTTTTGCATGACATAACACCCCATTGTGTGAAAACTTTCCTGTGTGATTGTCTGGGACAACAAACCACAACACATACTGCTATTGTGTTGGTGCTAGGCTTGCCATTTTTTCTTTCCATCTGTGTTTTGTCCTGTGTGTGAGATGCCTGATTTTGTTTTTATCAGGTTAACATTGGGCTGTGTTGACATCTGTCTGTCCCTCTTTGCTCATCCTGTCTCTTTTTGCTCTCACCAGGCTGGATCATGCAGTCCAAACCACAACCTAATATGTTTGCGGAAAATAGGCTGTAATCAGATTTATATTGCTAGACACTGAAGCTGCGCTGGGCAAGATTTTTAATGTAAATCCTCTTGTAGTGTATAGATACGGGAAATCTTCTGTCCCCATATGAAATTGCAGCGTAACAGTATAATGAAACTGCTGTGATCTTGCTCTACGTTTCTTTAGTAGTAAATCCACTGGAATAAAGCTCCACAGGTCAGTTGGTTGTCCTGTTCGGACGCTATGTTATCGCTGTTTCTCTATTAAATCTCAGTGTGTCAGTTAGTCCTCACTGTCATCTGGAGCTGCCAGTGTGTGAAATTGCCTCGTTTGGCTGTAATGGGAGATGACAGGCTGTGTTTGTTTTTGAGTTGAATGTTTTTTCAGGTTGAGGTTTGGTCCACCATAGCATGAGAAGGCCTGCTGTCTTCTTACACAAACATACGCACAATCTAGTGTCCAGATGCCTGTACACTAGCACTTTGTAGAGTTAGGAAAGTAGTTTTAGGTGTGCTTTGCCACGTTTCCTTTATCTTTTAATCTTCAGTGGAGATCTCTGTTGTGTGTGATTCTATAGGACTGACATACAACTCATAATATTCATGACTGATACACAAGTATTCAGACTGTAGAAAAATTAGACTCAAGATCATTCTTGTATTAAGTTTGGTATAAACCAGAGTCTTGCAATGATGTATACCTAGTGTGTGCCACTGAAACAGTGTGGTTATATATTTTTGCGCGCTTAGAGACATTTGAGGTAATTGCTTCTATGTTTTATGTGGGAGTACTGCTTGTCCTCTGTGTTCTGTTCTCATCATCATCCAGAAACTGTATAAATCCGTAAATTCTGTTTTCTAAAAAGTAAAAGCTTTGGTTCAATAATTACAGTTCCTGAGATAAATCCCCATGTACTAAAGGTTACTGAGTTTGGACCTGTGTGTAAATGATGTGATATAAAGCTGCGATTTGTATAAGGATGTGTAAATAAGTAATAAATCATTATATAGATATAAATATATATATATAAAGAAAGAGAGCGCGAGAGCAATTAATATGCTGTATGCTGCCTGTTTTATTGAGAACTGTCAACTCTGTTTGTGACCTCTTGTTACATGATGTCATGATTAAGAGTCCTCCCTGTAGTCTTCATTAAACTGTAGCTCCTGTAATACAGTGGCTTCACAAACCAGTTGAAATGTGGATTGTGGGTTAAATTGAAGCACAGATATTGAATTGTAGCTGTTGGTTGCTGCTGGGCTTTGACAGTGAAAACTAACGTGTTGTTTTTAAGAAGGTGACTCTTGAGGGCTTTGTGTATTTTTATTTTCCTTTTCTTTTTTGTTCAAATTGTTTTCAAGGCCAGATATTATTTAAAATAGCAGCAACCCAATTCTAAAGACTTGGACATTAATGACTCCATACAGGTCTTATCTGTTCATGTACTCATTATGTTTTCTGCCCTCATTAAGTCCCGCACTTTGATGGTTAAACACTCCTCATCAGTGTCATCAGATTTACTGCCAAAGATGCCTAATGAAAATACTGAGATGTTAAGAAATGATGGTTATCCGTAAGTTGTGTTTGAAAAATCAACCATTATTACGTGACCTTTCAAACCAATCACTATGTCCATAATTATTTGATTATGCACAGGGTCTTGTTTCCTACAGGATTCACCAGGATCAATTTTTATTTTTAAAACATCAAAATACCGATTCATTTGATCATCCTTTTAAACGTATTCATATTCAAACATACATACAGCCGCTTGTGAAGCAGGTTTGCTTCTGCTGTGATGTAAAATAAGGCTTTCTTGTTCACTGGTTCAGGCCTTTGAGTTTAAATGCGCTACTGTAAAGTGATAAATCAAATGATGTTGTTCATGAAGGCATTGTGTGGTGGCATGCCTATTGTGTCATTTTGTACTCAGGTGAGCTCTGTCTGGTCAAGCTTCCTCCGATGTGTTTGAAATTAACGTTTCAACATGCTTCATTTGTTCAGATACCGCACATAAAAAATGGAATATGAGCAGATGTTTTCTCATAGTGATGATCCACTCAAACTCCTGTTTCAGCATTAAACTTGATTTTGTAAAAGTAGATGATAAATTAATAAAGCTAAAATTCTGAAGTGACTGTTTTTGTGTTTTTCTTTGTTTAATGAAATCAATAATAAGATCGATCAGTGTTGTGGTGTTACAGTACATATACAGGCTTCTGGCAGCTGAGGAAGAATTGGCTTCAGTTGTGGATGGTGCCTTCAAGTGCTTCTTGTAAAATCTAACAGGCTGCTGTTAAGTCTGTAGCATACAGTCTTAAAAGGCATTTTCTGACATTTATTATGTCAACCATTTTTCTCTTTTTATTCAACGCTGTTTATCTGTTTGTACAGTAATGTTCACTTGCACTTTCAAAACAATAACCACAACATTGAAATCTCAACATACCTGTTTGTAGCTCTATTTACTCACACTAGTACATTAAGTTACATACCTGTACATACTTGGGTATATGTAGATTTCATAGTGTTAATTATTTTTAACACTATGGAATTCCAGTGAAACACCTTACTATACCAACACTAGACACTGTGCCTGGAAATATTAAGGCTAAATATAAACTATGGTTGTGATTTTTGTGTTTTCACAGAAGGAAATAAAAAATCTAAAGTGGAGACTGATGTAATGTATCTTGTCTTTAGCGGGATGGTAATTTGGTGGCTGATTATTCTGGGTAAATTTCACAAACTGAATGTGAATTTCACAAACAATTAAATCTGAATAGACTGGCTACTGATTTAATAGTTTTCTTTTTGTCAAACGTGAAGATGGGAATAACAAAACAGCTAAGAAGACATATTGTAACATCATAATTAACCTTAATTAACTGACCTCATGACTACTGGACCTCTTTGTTGTAAAGACAGCGTCCTAACTGTTTTAGTAACTAAAAATACAAAAAAAAACCACAAATAAAGATAAACAGTAACGATTATTTAAACAGTTACAAACAAAAACACAAATAAATGGGATGGTTTATTTCTATATATCATGGAAATAAAATAGCACGTTATGGAAATACAAATAAATATCATTACATACTGTATATGATCAATGATAGTATTTAAAATATGTACTGTACCTTTAAGTTTTGCGACATGTCGTAAAATCTCACTGTCGTAAATGATCATGTGGAGACATCATGGATGCTTCTAAGTTTGCTGTCGATTATTATACTTTTGGTGCTGTCTTCCGCTAGCTTGACAACAATTGTTCATGGTTTTTTTTTTTCCTCCGCTGTGGAGAAACAGGAAATGTTGTCCTGAAAACAGACTCAGTCTCAGTTCGGTTGTTTGACCACAGCAGCTCCGTGTGTTGTGTGTGTGTGTGTGTGTGTGTGTGTGTGTGTGTGTGTGTGTGTGTGTGTGTGTGTGTGTGTGTGTGTGTGTGTGAGAGAGCCCGCTCTCTGTCTGCACCATGTTCGTGTTGGTGGAGATGGTCGACACTGTCAGGATCTCTCCGTGGAACTTCCACAGACAACTCAACGAGGCCATAGCTGAGGAGCTCAACAAGAAACTGGCCAACAAGGTGTGTGTGTGTGTGTGTGTGTGAAGCTAATGTATACTTTTCAAAATCTCAAAACAAGTCAATCCGTTTTATTGATGTAGTTCTAATGAAGAAGAGACCTGAGTGCAGCACTATGGTGCAGCAGTAGGAAACCGCATCAGAAACAACCATTGATCTCTTTAAATAGGTTAAAAAGTTTTAAACTTAAAAGTCTCATCCCAATGGATAAATGTAAAGTTCACTGTCATTTGTTAATGTTATACAGTGCAGTGTACTGGAAGGCCGTCTTGGCCAGTCCTGGGAACTGGTTTGTGGAACAGAGGTTAACTTTGAGGAGAGATGTGATATAGTGAGTAGGGGCTGCACAATATGGTAAAAACACAATATTGCAATATGATTCACAATGAGTGTAGGAATTATCATTTTTGCATCCTGCATGCTCATTAACATGATGATGTACACTTTGTTGGGGTCAGTAACAAACAAATTATTTTCTTAAATCTAAAGGTTTGTAGGCCAGGGCATCTCTTCAGTGCTTCAGTATAATGCTGTTTTATCACACATTTGACCTTTTATTTAAGAAATTGCAGCTTCTGCGATTTACATATTGCGCAGTTTTATATATGTTTTAATATTTCTGTTAATTGTGCAGCCCCAATAGTAGGGCAGCTTTATTAATAATTTTAAAGAAAATTGTGTATATATGTATCATCTTACTGCTGCTGCAGAGTTTAACATTTTACAACAAAAATCTTTAGAGCATATAACACACTCTATATCCCTCGGTTCATGTTAGGAAAAACTTGTAAAATAAACAGTAGATATAGAGGAAACTATAGTCAAAATATATAGAGAAACAGAATGAGACTGTTAGGTAGATAGATTGTGAACATATACAGTATAAAGACATCAAGCAGCTTCCAGGTACTGTTACCTGAGCTTTACAACCTCCTCTTCGCCATGAAAACCTCTCTACTGGACTACACGTAAACACACAAGAGACAGACGGCAAAACAGACTTGGGCTGCAAACAACAGATATTGTCACTGTTAATTATGTGTTCAAATAATCATTTAGTCATCATCATTTTTTACTCCTTTTATCAAAGCTCATGTAGAATAGTCTTAATTTGAGCAGGTCTGCGTTTGCTAAACTGTGACCTGCTCTTGTCACCTCAGGTGGTCTACAATGTTGGTCTGTGCATCTGCTTGTACGACATCACTAAACTGGAGGACTCCTATATATTCCCCGGAGACGGAGCCTCACACACTAAAGGTATGATGACAGTGTCAGTACACAGGGCTCTCTCATTTCCTCATACACTTGCATTATACTGTGTTTTTATGATCATTTATATTAGTGCGATAAATCTCCTTTCTTTCTTTTTGTGTGTTTTTATCACAATCTTGCTGATGAATTCAAGGGAAAAAGTGTGTCAGAAATGAAATCTTTACCCTGACATCCTCATAGAAACACTGTTACATACAGATCAGAGTGGGATGAAGAGGGTGAACTTTTTCTGCCCTGCTAAGAGCCGTGAAAGAGTGATGTAGACGCAGATAATTGCCACTGTTAGTACTCCGATATTAAAGCAGCAACAAGATAACATTTATTTTTTGTTGAATTTGGTGGTAGTGTTTTGGCCTTGTTGCATTTATTTAAAGGGGAATCTGACCAAATCTGACATGGTGGCAGGCATTAAGAATAACTATACAGAAATAGCCAATATTCTCGCTGATGGTTTTGTGTGCTTATGTAAGTCATATAAAGGCATCTGTATTAAATTGCGACTCTTTCATAACAAGTTAAAAACTTGTAGTACATTTAAATTGTGGTTAAAGTGAGCGTTGATGGACTGGCTCACCTAACTCTCACCTACTGATTCGTTCTCATCCCTTTGGTCCTTCTGTCAGTTCATTTCAGGTATGTTGTTTTTCATCCGTTTCTCGATGAGATCCTCGTCGGCAAGATCAAGTACTGCAGCCAAGAGGGAGTTCATGGTAACTTTTGTCTTTCTGTTTTCATCCCGTTTAATTTAATATCCAGAAATGTATCAGTAGATGTATTCTCAATGCACTAAACAAGGAAAAAAAAGGAAGGGCAGCAACTAAATGTCCTTAATGCTCTTTTAAATGTCCAAATCACGATGGGCATTAAGTCCTCAAGGTGACATATTCAAATGTCTTGTTTTGTCTGATTAATGGTTCAAAACCCAAAGATATTTAATTTACAGTAATATTAAAAAGAGAGAAGCAGAACATCCTCACATTGGATAAGCTGGAAATAGGAAATGTTTAGCATTTCAGAAATATAGATAGATAGATATAAAATACATCTCTATAAAGACAAGATTAAAGTAAATTTGAGAAATGTGTGTGACGGTTAATTCTACTGTAATTAGTCAGCTGTAGCAGATACATTTGTGTATCTTCCTTATTAAATTTTACCATTTTTTTATTCATTCAGTAGTCCTGTCTACACAACTTTAATCTCGACCTGTGTACATGAGTTTAAATAAATCAGTAATTGTGTGATTAGGATCTGAGAGATCTCCAGTTATTTGGTCCTCTGCCTGTTTATGTTGCACTTTGTCATATCTCTGGTACCAGAGTCACACGTAGCTGTCCTCCACTTGCGGTCTGCACTGGTTTAATTTGTTGCTAATTAGCTGAGTCACATCTGGCTCATCATTGAGGAAAGTATAATTGATCAAATGTCATTTGTATCACATATTCCTGACTTCTGCTTCTAGTGTGTTTTATTATGAATTTGCAGTACATTCAAATAGATCAGATCTATTTGTCTTTTCAGTTGGTATATAATGTAACTTGAATGCTGGAATTGTGACAAGATCTTGTGTAAATAGAAAAAACTAGTTAAACTTTACTACAATGTCAGAATTGTGCTTAAAATGAGAAAACATTCAACAGCCTGCACTTGGCCTGAAGGCTCACATGTCCCTTCTTTCACTCGTAGCAGATGATATAGGAGTACTGTTGTAAACGCAGACTGCACACTGTGTCCTTTCTGTCTCACAGTGACGATGGGCTTCTTTGATGACATCCTCATTCCTCCAGAGTCACTTCAACAGCCTGCAAAATTGTATCCTGACTGAAAATGTTCCAATAACTAATCAAGTAAAGCGCTGTCATTTCATCTTTGTCATTTCATCTTTGTCATTTCATCTTTGCATTGAAAAACAAATTGTGAATTACATATTATTTGAATTCTGATCTGAGATTGATTGTGTAACTGTTGAGCCATCCTTAGCTACAGCCTCAGTGATGAAGCAGAGCAAGTTTGGCTTTGGGAATATGAGACGGACGAGGGGGCCCATGACCTCTACATGGACCAAGGAGAGGAGATCCGTTTTCGGGTGACAGATGAAGTCTTTGTGGATACGTCGCCAACGGGCCCAGCCACTGCAGCGACAGACGCACCGGCACAACCGGGACAGTCGACGGCGCCGCCCACAGAAGACAGTGGGGAGAAGAAAGAGGCACCGTACACTCTGATTGTAAGAACACATTTACATCAGCAGGACATCTGCTCAAATGTTTGATAAAAAAAAAAATTGGCTGATTGTAGACTGTATGGTCATAAAGGGAGAACAAGGCTGTCTCATACTGAAGGGCCTCCATATCCCAGTCAGTCTGAATAATGCTGTTGTGTGTGTCTTTGTCTGTATATTAACTGATATATTATCAGGTCTAGTTGTGCATCGGTTTATACTCCTGCAGAGCTTGCTTATAAAACAAAAAAGTTAATATGATTGCTTTGTGCATTTTGGACCCTCCAGTTTTTCATTTCCTCGTGACACACAGTGGCTACTTCATGTGTTGAAGTTCACCACTGCTGAACTCTATGTGAAAGTTCTTCATTGACTTACTTTGTATTTGTTGATATTGTATTAATTTGTCTGGTCCTAAGAGATGTAACAAAAGTAACAGTCAGCTTTACAGGCCCACACAGTTCTTAGAATAAGACTAATTTATCAAAATAACTCTAAAACACAAAAATTAAACAAAAGTAGCTTCACGTCCATCCTAACCCATTGCGCTGTTGTTTCAGGGGACCATCTGTGAGCCGGGCCTGGGGTTGCTGTCTTGGTGGAACAGTTAGCACTGCAAAGGACGATATTTGGAAGTTGCGAACAGATCGACCATCATGACCATTTGGACTGATGAAGGACGGTCGGCTGGAGACACTGAACCCTGTTGTTTGGGTGCAGAAGTCAAGACAAAAGTCAAACCGCTTTCTGAACCAAGATAGTGTCGGAGTAAAGTGACTGATGGAAACTCTGTCACACTGAGACTGTGTTGTAAACACTGCCCTTAACATACCAGCTTCATGTTTATATGTAGAGTTTGCCATGTATTTAATAACAGAATGATTGATGGACATTTCATTTGGTATATTCCACAAGATTTTGACCCCCAATTGTCATCACATTTAAAACTGAGCTGAAAACTGAACAGCAAGGATGGATAAATATGATCCCAGTGTATGGACACTCTTTTGTGGTGAGATAAATGAGTGACTTCTGTTGATATAAACTGACTTCTGGATCAGATTTCTGATACGTTTGTATCAAGATTCAAACAAAGGTAACGTTGTTTGGACCTACCTAAATATATAGTTGAATATAAAAAAATATTTTTTTCAATGAGAACCAAATTTGTCAGACTTGAAGATCCAGTGTGTTGGATTTAGTGGCATCTAGCGGTGTTGTTGCAGATAGGAAATCCATCGCTTCACCCTACCTTTCCAAGCACCAGGGACAATCTACAGTGGGCGCAAAATGTGTGAACAGCCCTATCTAGAGCCAGTGTTTGGTTTGTCTCTTCTTTCTCTTCTGTGCTACTGTAGATATGTGGCAGTTCAACAACGCGGACTCTAGGCGGGCGATCCGTAGTGTCTGTAAATAAAAATGGTTCATTCTGAGGTAACAAAAACCCAAAGATTCATATTTTTTATACTCTAATGAAAACATACCATTTCTGCCAAAAGAGCCTCCTAAATGTTACACACTGGACCTTTTTAAAAGATGTATTTTTTATTTGAATTTTTACCTCTACTGCAGATTTTTGTGCACTCATCTACAGAATATTTAACAGCCTTGTAATTTTTTGTATTTTTTTGTCTCTCAGTAAAAGGGTGTATCATCAGTGTGAGCGGTTGTGATTTGGGAATTTGTCATTTTGTGTGATTATAGAAAGTACATTAAAAAAAAAAGGATTAGAGAGCAGCTTTTAAATCCTGCAGTTTGAAGGGCGCTGAAGGACACAGTCCTGCTTGTTTAGAACAGATATTCTCTGATACTGTTGGTCAGTGTTAGTTTGCAACTTACACACATAAACTTGTTTGTTGTACAATCAGAAATGCAGTGGGCTGTGTTTCATGTGACAACTGCATGGCCAGTTGATGTTAGTCTCGGATGTCTGTTGTGAAACTGGGTCAGACTTTAAAAGGTTTCAAGAAGAAAAATAGATTGTTTGCATGTGACCCCTGAAAGCTACATAAAGCTTAGCTTAAGAACTTATTTACCATTAAGAACAGGATGAAATTTTTTACCATAATTCATACTATTACTGCGGACATGGAAATTTCACATAGCCTTCATAACTTGAACATGCACAGTCTCTGATTTTGGGCATTATAATGTTTTTTATTGACATGAATGTGATAAAAAGTAAATTTGTAAAATGTAGAACCCATTGCACTACTGGGCTCCAGTCTTATATATAAACACATCCTTTATAATAAAACATCTGCATACAGAGTGCAATATGATAAACATCATAAAATCATGTGAAAGACAAAGAATATCTCAGTACACTGAGCACACTGTCGACCCAAAGATTACATACATGACGAGGAATGAAGATAGTCATTTTTTGCACACACACACACACACACACACACAGTCGCATCACGCCATCGGAATCTCCGCCAGCTGCGCAGACTCCGCAGCCCTCACACCGTCACATCAGGGTTTTCCGTCGGTCTGCGCGGATTTAGTCGACTTATTTATTTAATTACTCGTTATATAATACACACCGACTTAAAAGACACACTCGCACACACTGATCGTCCTCAACCTACTAGCGCACCCAATGCAGTAAGTAACATTTCTGCCAATATATGCATGTTGAAGTGGCTGCAGAGGGGAGTGTGTCAGTGTGGCTTTGTTTTTGGGGTCGGGACAATGTATTCTGTGCATGCTTGACAGAGTAACCGCTAAATAGAAGGGAAATATATTTTTATTATATATTAAATATTTATCTGGTTATATGGAGAACTGACCGATGTACCGTTCCCACCATATTTGACCGCCACCTGGTCTTTTTGAACGGACCTCTCACCCTGCTTTTGTCCAAGTTATACTGTCTTAGGTTGTCTTTTACCGCCTTTCACACCTTTTTGAGAGACTGCCGTTGCCAGAAATAAAAACAGGGGGAAAGCAATGAGATAAAATATCGGATTTTATGGTTAGGTCCTATGAGGAAAGTGTTTGAATTCAACTCTCGGGACAAACTCCAACACACACACACACACACACACACACACACACACACACACACACACACACTATCCAGAGACACATTAGCCGTGCCTTTTCATAATGATGGGACAGGGAAGAGATTTGTCCCCGACCCGATCCAGAAGAGCCATGACCCCCTTTTAATTCTGTTGCTTCATTTCTGCACATCCAGATGTTCTCCAGCTGCTGTCTGTGTAATGTAAACTCTGAGTCCATTCACAGTACAGTAGGTCCCCATCATGATGATCGTTATTACCATAATTATTAATAATGTAACAGCACATTATTAAACACTGTGTGTCAATGTAAGGTATCCTGTGGTAACGCTATCACATTGTGTGTGTGTGTGTGTGTGTGTGTGGTGCTGCTGTAGGAAGTGTAACTGTGCAGATGTTACCTTTGTTGATGTAATTGTTCATTTGGGAATGGGCACTGACGTCACGGACGCACCACTGGAGGCGGCGTTCTGCAGCTGTTCTGACGTCACGCCGCGTGCGGAGCTCTATCTCTGCCTGCATCATCACAGGCAGAGGAGGAGTGGGTGTAAAAAAACATCCTATGCACACACACACACACACACACACACACACACACACACACACACACACACACACTTACATGTAGGCTACATACATCAAACGACAGGAGTGTTGTTGTGTTAATGGTGTTTCTGGGATGAGTTCATCCTTGAATACTGACAGGAGATCAGTTAGTTGCCCCTATATTCTAACCTTGAAAATATCAATGTGGGCAGATTAGGGGGTATTGAAGGACAAGGTCACCTGACTAAACAAGATATATTGTGTATTTTAGCATGAGTGATAACAAAGGTGGATTCATTAGTTCAATGACTAGAACAAAATAAAAACTGAATATAGACTGTACAATGATAGCGCTCTGTATTAGGCTATGCAGTTGTAATGCACATCAAGTAGATATGAAAAATTAATCTCCATATTTATTAATACTATGCTTTGGGTAGGTTCAGAGATAAACCCTTGCAGTATAATCATGTGGAATTGCACTGGAATGCAGCTTGCTACCAACTGAGCCAAAGTGGAAATACCAAAGGCTCCAGGTGAAAAAATAAAATTTGGGGCTAGATTTGTGTGTTGTTGTTTTGTTTTTGGCTTTTTTTGTTTGTTACAAACTAGAGGTGTGGAGTTAAACCAGGAGGTTCTGATGAAAACATGCTATTGCACAATGGGACGTGAAGGATCCACTGTTTTTGGACCCATGACTAAATGTCAGGGTATCTTGGCCTCTGCTGCATCGATTTTGATCATTCTTTTTTAAAATCTGTCTCTAGGGATGTCCCCCAGCCTTTTATGAGCACACAATACTATATCATCGGAGTACCCCTTCAACATTATTTAATTTAAAGTACTTGACACACACTTCGCTGTGTCAGCTCATCATCTCATTTATTCTTGGAAGAAATTTGATCAAATAACATTAATTTGACAAAATGCTAAAATATGTATTCACAAGGGAAGAACACTATAAAGGATTTGCATGGTTTCTGACTTGAACAGGTTTATTCTTGGTTCGCTAACCCGTCTCATCTCTCCTTTCCTCCATCAGTTCTAAAGCCAAATGACAACTCTCTGATCCTCCTCCATTCTCTCCCTGTGGTCTCTCTCCTCACAGCAAGTCCTCCTGACAGACTTGAAGCGACAGAGCTGACCTGAATATATCCACTGAGTCCGTGTCCCCACACTGAGGTAGGCCTTTCTGAGCAGACGGACTCACAGATACACCAGCGGACATACAACAGTGTCAGCAGCCCATCAGCAGCCTGCGGCTCGAGGAGTAGAAGCAGCGTCCAATACTGCATCCACACCATCCACTCCCATCTGCCTCCTCCTTGTCACATCTGACATGGCAGACCCCAGCCTCACGTCGCCCTCTGAGACGCCGCTGCGCTCCCCCAACGCCTCTCTCACCCTCTCCTTCCCTTTCCTGAGGGAGAGGAGCCGGGTATGGGAGGAAGGGAAGGAAATGCCACTGCCTAGGGATCTGCCCAGCCCACTGCCAACCAAACGCACCCGCACCTACTCAGCGTGAGTATGATTAGTTTATTTCTGAATTAGTGAGTGGTGGAGAGTAGACATTTTCTTAAATACTGTAAAATCTTATTTGAGTTGTTCCATTTCGTGTTACTTTACACTACATGTCAGAGCAAAAAAAATATTTTTACTCCACTATATTCATCAGTACCGCTTTCTAATAAGGCAGCCTTTATGCAGGCTAACTAAAGTCTAATTTATTAATGGATAATAAAAAAAATACTAAAGCTTTTGAGATGATTTCTAAGCAAATAATAAGAACAACCTTTGGTGCCAGATTGTATAAAAACCCCTCTAGCAGGCAAACCAAAGCTGGGTAATAACTGATCTTTAAAGCCTTAGTTAATGATATATAAACACTGGTTTGCAGACCGAGGTTGGTACTGAAGAGAAGTTGAATACTTTACTGTTTACACTGTGAGTCAGCAGCTTAGTGTTCTCATCTCTGCTGCCGTTGTGTTGTGACATTATGAGGCAGTGTGTAGGTGTTGATGTGAACTGATCTTCATCTTCCTTTTCACCTCCTTCATGAATCCTCCTCTCTATCATCACACTTATCATAAAAACCCATAAATGCCCTGAACCCTGAATTGTGTCACTTAAATGAAAAATTCTTTTAAACTGCTCATTCACATCTTACTGAAGAAAATATTACAGTAAGTCTTACTGAGATGAGTCATTTCATGGTAAGAACGTCTTTGTTTTTCTCTCTTTGCCTGCAGTACGGTGCGTGCACACTCAAGTCCGGTGTTTAAGGGTGTGTGTAAAGACTTCTCGAGGTCACAAGGTCACGGCTTCATCCGACCCTCCCACGGCGGCGAAGACATCTTTGTTCACATCTCAGAGTGAGTGGCTGAACACTGAACACTCTTCGAATACTCACAGCAGACAAACATGTGGTGCATTAGCTGAATTACAAATAGTAACACAAACCTACTGCAGAACTGCAGTGTCAACTCATAGGACTTTGAGAACTCAGCAAACGACATTGTTTAAGTGTGTGCTTTTTTCAAAGGGGAAGCTATTTTTCTCAACTCTCCTAGGACACTGTGACACCTGTAATAAGTGGAGATGCACAGAGAGTACAGCAGCTTCACTGTGTTAGTTTTATTCTACCTTTTTATTTAGGACAAGCAGTATGTCAGAAGTGACTCAGCAAAAGCTTGTAAAATTCTTCGAAACAGATTATGCAGGATGATCCAGTTATCTTATTGCCAAACATTTGAATTGTGGGTCTAAAAGTCCAACATTTATCTTGTCTCTAATGTCCCCTTTATCAGAGCTCCAGCAGATATCTGTATTTGCTTCTATAATCTGTGTGTGACCACACTCTGTGAAGTCAACTATTCCTTTAAGAGAATAATTTGACTTGCAAGTCTGTGTTAAATATGAAGCTGAAGCAGTGAGGTGATTTTTAGCTTAATGTAAGCGTACCATAGAAGATAGAAGAAGAAGGAAACAGCTAGCATGGCGAGCCGGTAACATTGACAGCATATAATTAGTGGACAGAGCTTCCTGGTCTGTGAAGTGAAGCCTATGCGGAAGTCTCTTAAACCATTCTTTCTAATTGTCAGCAGGGTGCAGCTCTATGGACTGCAAAAGAGAAGTCAAATAGTCAAATAGTATTGAGTCTTAGCCTTAAATAGATGACTTGTGATTGACATTCTCAGTGAGTCTGTCCAGCGCACTGGATGAAACTCAGACAGACAGTCAAACTAGTCAGTGCTCATCAAATATAAATCAAGATTTGGTTAGTGCATTACATATTTCTCGATTAATATCTTTTTAGAAATACCTTTTAGTGTTCTTTTTATCTGTAATACAAGAACATGTGTGACCAGGCAAGCTGCCAGTGTTTACTGCTATGGAGTTAAAACCAAGTGCAACCAGTGAGCGCAGATCAACTTGCAGTGCATCACCACTGCTGGCTGCAAAAACATGGCGATGGCCATAATACCAAACTCGAGACTTCAAAACAGTACTCAACAAACCAATGTGTGACTTCAGGATTGATTAACAGAAATGACAAGTTGTGATTTTATAAGGAGTTACTTGCTGTACCAGTTTCTTTGTCAGGAGCTGGTCGTGGTGACCTCCTGGAGGCTCTGCTTGTTGAAAGTCAGGAATTCACTGTGCCTGGTCATTGTTTTCCAGAAAATTGTGTCAAATATAATGTAAGCCGTAGAAGTCTGCTTCGATCTTTTATCTTTGGACAGAGCCAGGCTGGTTGTTTCTGCCTGTCTTGCTAAACTAAGCTAATTGCCTCCTGGCTTCCATACTTAATGCACATACATGAGACAGAAAGAAAGCAAGAAAGTGAATGAGTTGGATGGTGGTTCTGTGTTTTGGGTACCGAGGCAACCTCAGGGAGTCTAAGAATGACTCTGCAGGGTAATGAGCAGATTTATCGGTCAAGATATATATAATTGTGGGCGCCCGGATAGCTCAGTTGGTAGAGCTGGTGACCCATGTACTGAGGCTGAGTCCTTGCTGCAGTGGCCCAGGGTTTGAATCCAACCTGCAGCCCTTTGCTGCGTGTCATCCCCTCTCTCTGCCCCCCTCTCGTTTACACGTTAATTGATTTATATATATTGAATTCTGTTTTGTATGTTGTGCCAGTTCTGCACTGTATTTAATAAATATGCTATAGGATCATCATATTATTCTGTTTTGAATTCATTTAATTTTTAAAAAGAAAGAAAGAAAAAGTCTCAGCCGGCTCTCATCGTTCACTCAAAGGAGCAGAGTCATTCACGAACGACACATCCCCATTGTACAGTTTATAGGAAGTTTGTGATGGTATCTCTTGTGTTTGCACAAAACACCTCATATTCATTCATTGTCCTAATTATTCTCTGTTTCAGCATCGAGGGGGAGTATGTCCCAGTCGAGGGCGACGAGGTCACGTACAAAGTGAGCCGGGTCCCGCCCAAGAACCTGAAGGTGCAGGCAGTGGAGGTGAAGATCACACATCTCAACCCAGTGACAAAACACGAGACCTGGTCTGGGCAGATCATCAGCTCGTAGACCTGAGCTCCGGGAGCCTGGTGGGTCGGGCTGGGCAGGGTTGGGGGCGCGGACCGGTCGTGGGACTGATAACTTACATTCTGTGCTGAAATCCTTTTCCTTTTGTTAAAAAAAAAAAAAAGTTTGACCTACACAGCAATGTGTCCAGCGTTAACAAGTGTCAATAGTTCAGTTGTAGTTGGCAGTTAGTCCACTCAGAGTGACGATTTACTCTGTTAAAAACTGAATTTGCTGTGTATGTTAAACTGACAATTTATTCATTGTTAGGACAAAAACACATTTGTTTTATTTATTTATATTTTTGTCATGACAGCAGTAAATAAGATGGGAGGAGAATGTTACGGGGAAGAACTTGTGGGCTTCATTTTTCACAGAGATCAGCTGTTTAGGAAAGTATTGGGAAAACTGTATACATGACTGTGGTGCAGTTCTGCAGACAGCTGAATGTATGTACAAGAAAGAGAGCGACTAAAGGACAAAAGGTTGAATTCAGTTTTACTTCCCTTCTGTGCAGCTGTTATGCACTTGTTTACTTCACCAACGTTTCCAGGATCACATGTTGTGGCTCAGATGACTTATCATGGTGTCATCTGTTTTTACATCAAGTGCAGAAATAAGATGATAAGAAACTTCAAATTTAACATCAGAGATTATGGACGTAAAAGCAAGTAGTTTAGGGGCCTGAAGTTGAGGAGATTTGAGTGACTGTTGCTGAATGAAAGAAAGTTGAAATGGCAGGTTAACAATCCTTAGAGCATTTAATAACAGCAGTTTTTGCATTGAAATGAAATCAAATGAAATTGAATCTATACAATTATAAAAAAAAATGATATAAATGATTCTATGTTTGCTGTGTTGACGTCTCATGACCCTTGAGAAGGGTCACAGGTTTAGAAACATGACCTTAGGGAACAAAAAAAGAAGAAGTAAGTTTTATTTTGAAATGGAGAGAGGAACTAAAGTTTTAAGTGAGATTAAGTTGGAAGTTAGGAATTCAGTTTGTCTGAGACAGAAAAAGCATTAAGGCAGACCAGGAGTTAAGCAGGCAGATCACATTGAAGAACACTTCAAAAAACATAAAAACAATATATTTTATGGTGAATGGAAAGTGATTTTCCTGAAAAAGGCATATCCTTGGTCTTGGTTGGTATTGTTTGTATACCAATACAACCATTTGTATTTATTTTAATTATTTATTTGATGATTTCTTTCAGTTCTGTGTGTGTCCTCAGATAGCAAGCTCTATATGTTGGGTAATACAGTCAAAAATTGCACTTAAAAATTGAACTTTCACTATGAAAACTGCCACAGAACTCCAGACATCGCTGTCGGGTATTTATCAATGTGTTGTTCTGTTCGACAGTTCCTGTATTGAAAGCGTCTGGATCCATGGATTTCTGATAAACAAAACTATTTCTAAATCTCTTTTTCTATTATTAGAAAAACATATGTCTGTGTGTGATTTATTGAGCGTAGTCAGTGTGATGGTGAACTACATGATTTCATAGTTTGTGCCAATAGAGATAATTTTGAGATCATTGTTTTGCTCAGTTATGTACTGTACTGTATGTCATTTTCTATTATATCTGTTCTATATGGTCTCTATGCATCTCGTCTCTCTGTCAGTGTCACTGCCTGAATTTGTTCAACATTAAATTTTATTTCTGTCACAGCAAAGGGCACTTTCTTTTGTGGATGAGCCACTGTGGCGGTGATCCACATGAATACTTCTACTGAGCCTTGAAAGAACATTAAAGGATTTTCTGATTCACAGGTCTGATTGAAGCTGTGTTTCTTTAGTTACCTGTGTGCGTGTGAGACTGAGGGTCGAAGAGGAAGAGCAGTATAAAAATGTGGTGGAAGAGACAGTTCCACAATGAAGGGGTCACAGGTTTGATTTTGTCCTGTCAAAGCCTTATAATCAAACTGAATTGGCATTTTGTTTCACATTGTTCATTTATTTCAATACATTACATTTAATGCAACTTATATTAGAATTTCTGAATAAATCAGAGATGTGGGTGGTAATTCAGAGGTCTCTGGTCACTTACTGAGAGTTGGTCTGGGCATTCATGCCAGCTTCAGTAATACTGTATGAACCTCAGGGCTGGATTATTTGGGGATAAATCTAAAATAGCTATGAAGACAAAAACGGCAAAAAAATAAAAGAAAGATTTGATAAATACGTCATTTATTATGTAACTTCGGTGTCTTTTCTCTATTTCTAGAGACACGTCACTATGATATTTTTGATGGTGCCTAAGGAGTGCCGAGCTTGAAACATGTTGCAGTTCAGAACAAATAAAAACCTTTTTATGTTTTATGGTATATTTAGCATATTACATCTTCTCCCTTTTCTGCATTTGACAGCTCACCTAATTATTTCTGTGCATTAATAACTTAATTGAGGTTGAAGCGTTTTTTCTGTTTCCTTTCAATTCCTATTAAAGGCATACATGTTATTGAATTCAACAGATACAATAGAGATATGTTTATTGAATAAACAATAAAAAGAGATAAGCTCATGGGAAACAAGAATACCAAGTGCCATGCTGTAAAGCACTAAAACCAGATTCAGCCATTATCATCCTGTTGCGTCCTGGCATACAGGGCCTTAACGTTTTTTCATGAGTTTCGCAGCCATCTTAGTTGTTCCTACACACTTTTACAGCCAGTTTGTCAAATACAGACACGAGCAGTGTTCAGTTAGTTGCAACTTCACTGTTAGATACCACTAAATCCTTCACACTGGTCCTTTAAAGCTGCATAAGCAGTTTTTAACTAGAGTGTATTTTCTGCAGGATATAGTTTCTAGTTACTGTGGAGACAAAAAGTAGAATAAAAGAAACCAATGTCATAGATTTGCAGTGCTGGTTGACAAAGTTCTGTCTTTGTTGTTTTGAAATTTGAAAAACAAATTAGAGTGGTAATAATCTACCTATCTGTTAACCATTGTTAGAAGAGTTTACTCTGGACAAGTGAATCTTTCTACAGACAATTTAACACTGAGGCTAAATGGTTGAGCGTCTGCCAAAACTTAATGTCAGGCACTGCTGAGTAAAATTAAAAGAAACGGATGATGACTGTTAAGGGGAATAACTAATACATGTGTCTATCCATTCTTCAAAAGCTAACCTTTGAACAGCCACAAATTGGATTGTACTTTATTTTTACAGCACCAGTGGTTGGCGACTCCCAGTGGTAGAATTAGAAAAGACACTGTGGCAGACAGAAATGCATGCTGGCAACCTGTTAGAGAATCTGCAGCCTTCTTATTGAGCAAGTTTGTGAATGCATATGTAAAAAGAGTCCAACGACACTGGAGAGCTGAGGACAGTGAAATGATATCAAAAGAGTTTTATTACAATGAATAGACGCAAAAAAAAACATTTTTATCCATAAATGACACATTAAAAGCACATTTTCTGTGCATAAAAGTCTTGCCTGGAAGATCCTTGTAGTCTTTGAGGTTGAAGGAGTGTTTATAGTCGGACACAGAACCGCAGCTGATTTATCTGATTTATCAAAAGTTTCATATTCACAATAAACATCCATCAGGGAGGTGTTACGTTTTTGAACCATGAGAGAAGGACAGAACATTGACTTGTTTGGAAAATCAAAGTGGCAGTTTTCACATTTAAAATTTATTTTTAAAAATCCCTTTAGCAACAAGAGACCAATGAGCATCAATGCGTATAGTCAGCGTGCAGGCCATAGTACAGACTGTAAAAATATTTTACATAAAAAGCTGTCATATTGACTGACAAAGGTTTTTAAAATGACTTGGTCACAGTAGCTTAATTCACTGGTTAAGATGAATTCATTGAGTCAGTAATGTTCTGTTTTAAATATAAATCTGAATCAATCTTCACTTTAATGCATGTAAAGGACCTAGAGAAGCAACACAAGCAAACTTCCTACATTTCCAGCAGCTTTGTGGGGTTAAAACATACATTTGACATTCAGGGAATCACACAGTAAACCAACAATAAATCACATCTATTTTAGAGTACTGTAGAGACATAAAAATACCTGGAATGATTCTTTATCCACAAAGGACAGAAAGACCCACATCTTTTTTAATGCTTCATTCATATCTCATTTCCAGAATGGACACTTGTTTTAAATATCACTCTCTCTCAGTCTCATCATTTCCTTTGGCAGTGTGCAACAAGACCAACGATTGGTATAAAATGATACCAACATTAGTGCAAAACATAATTCTATACTCTACGTAATCTGGAGTAACTTTCAACATTGCATAATGTTTTAGTATCTCTCTAAACCTTCTGGTTAATTTTATGTTACATGCTACACATAGCAGTGGTGTGACACTGCAGTCAAACACATCTTCTACTTAAAACAGTACTTTAAACTTCCTCAGTTATTGTCCCTTTTTTTTTTTTTTTTTTTTTTTTAAATGCAGCAGGATTTATTGTACAAATGTAACCAAGTCACCCTGCTGCTGCCCATTTACATTTACATTAATCAACCATCTTCATGATATGGAAGAAATCAGTAGTGGCACCTTTCAGCAGTTCATAAACAGCCTGGGTTCGAGTTGCTTGTTGTCGTACCAACAGAGAATCACAGGCGGGAATTCAGAGGGGTTTGTGGGTAAAGGGATTGGTGGGAGCAGTTCAGGACTTCAGGATTCGTGTGGTGGAGCATCAAAGAAAAGCTCCCGACAGAGCCTGGCCGTGTCCTTCGGAGAGTAGACTGTGAAACCGATGGTCCGTGGGTCGTTAAAAATCTCATAGTCATTTCCTCCCTAAAAAGAAAATCGTCAAAATTATGAACACAGATCATCATTCTTTCAGTGGAGGCTCTCCTAATCTACAATCATGACTTTTAAACTTTAACCCCTGAGCCTGGACACAACAGTGTGTTTACAGCACTACACCACAGCTGTTTCTGTCCACATCTGCATATTCTGTGATGCTTACAGAGGTAAAGTGTCTTGACTGTACCGTAACAAAAGTATGACTCTTCCATATGTACTCCTTGTAGCACAGACTGTTAACTGTATCTCTTTCTATATCTCTCGCTATATCTCTCTCTATCAGCTGATATTGGCCTATCAGAGACATATCTGTATTACATTAGATTAGATTAGATTAGATTAGATTCAATTTTACTGTCATTGCACAAAGTACAAGTACTAAGACAATTAAATGCAGTTTAGCATCTAACCAGAAGTGCAAAAAGCAGTAAAGTTCAGAGTAATGTGCATATGTACAGGGATATAAAAAACAACAGTATAGATATACATATATGAATATGCTAGCAAGGTATATAAAGTATGAACAGCATTATTAGAATGAACGGAGTGAAGTGAATACACTAAGATATATACATCTTGCGCAGCAGCAGCAACAGTTGCAATTGCAAAAAGTATAATTATGGTGTATTTATATAGTGTGGATCAAGTAAGTTAAGATATGTACAGAATGAACAGTATTACAGTAATTATATATTATATTATTAAGTTATTAAATTGGTTGACATTATATACTATATATTATATAGATATGTACAGTATAGATAGAGGCAAGTGAATACACTATAGATATATACAGTAGGACAGTATAAATATGTGTTAGGGTGTGGGGGCTTAAATAGGAGTTCAGTCATTCAGGAGGAAGGGGGGTCACCTCGGTGTAGAGTTTAGCAGGGTGACAGCAGATGGGAAAAAGCTCTTCCTGAGCCTGCTGTATTTTGTTTTATGTATGCAGTATTGTATTGGTATCATCGTACTGTATATGTTATCCAATGTGTGTTGATATGAAAACTGCTTGTGGTAATATAATGTTGTCACTCCAACGTTTATCCAGCAGAGTGCACTGCAGTTTATACTACTATGGCAGATCAGACTAAGAGAGGAGATGCAGCTCTCAGCAGTATCTACTAAAGTGTTATGTTAATATACATATATGTACTTTTGCATAGTCATATCGGTGCAAAATCAGTGAACAATCCACATAGAAAAGGTCTATTTCCATTCATTCATTCAGACACTCCCTATTGTGAGCAGGTTCATAAAATCAAGCAAACTGCCATGTAATCTCTGTCATATGATGCCACCTTTTCAATAAATAATTTTGTGCACTTTCCGCCTTGCTAGACTTGCACTGGTCAACTGTAAGTGCTGTTATTGTTAAGTGAAACAACAACTCACCGGAAAGCAGCGGACCACACAAGCTTACTGAAATTGCAAAACCCCTTAGTTTCAATTAAGAGAAATCTTGAGTCAACATAAAGATGCCCCGGTGCACAAAGCCAGGTCCATAAAAAATGTTTTTCTGAGCTTGGTGTGGAAGAACTTGAGCCCGGACCTCGACCCCACCCAGACCTTTTGGGATGAACTGGAATGCCGACTGAGAGTGTCATCCAACATGAGGTTGACCTCACTAATGTTCTTGTGGCTCAATGGGAGCAAATCCCTGCAGCCAGGTTCTGCTCATGGAAAGTCTTCCCAGAAGAGTGGAGGATGTTATAGTGGCAGCTTAATGCCTATGATTTGGTATGAGATATTCACACATAATCACATATGGCTGTGTACTTTACAACAGGGTTCCTTTATCAGCACTGTGTCTAACTCTACTGTAAGATAAACTTACATCTGAGGTCTCGTTGCCAAAGAAGTAAATGGTGCCCAGGCCTTCACTCTCCAGCACATCCAAACACAGTCTCTTGTCCCAGCCCTCTGGAAAAACGTCAAAGCTGATGAGACCACCTAAAACAAAATGATGATTATTATTATTTTTTGAATA